AATGGGATTTCGACCAATCGCAGCGCAGTATTTGAGGCTACTCGACAGTTTTATTTCGGATATTTTCTCCGAGCTTTTGAATATTTCGCAGTAGCTTTTCATTTCACATTGAATCTTGTGTTTGACAGTCAACGGAAATCGGGTTATTTTATTAACATAATTTGTTCAAATCTTCCCCATTAGACCTTTTCATTCTGAGACTCACTAGATTTTCGGACAATTCTCCCATATAAATTCCTCTAGAAATTTCGAACACTTCCGCCGAATTTACATATCAATTATCATTTTTGAGGGCTCAAATCTATATCATCTTAAATGCAAATATTTATCATAATGTCTCATTATTTTTCACAAGATCTTTCAGTTCGATGAACGGAATAAATGAGTAGCGAAGTGGTAAAAAGGTTTAAGTCGACTCATCTCCCAGTTGAGGTTTTGAGGAATATTTATGAATCTACGGGAGATAGCGAAATTTTCATAATTACATTTATTGTAGTTCTCAATCGGCTCTACGAAAAAGGTTATAACACAAATTTGGCTATCTCCCTTAGATTCCGAGATATTGATTGAAAACTGGTCAATAGTCCAAATTGACCGTTTCACCACTTCGCTACTGAAATATTTCCCGTGGATTTCCAGAATGGCAAGGTCTATTCACCTCCTGATGTTGTCCACTACACCCTGATTGGCCAAAATCCGGTTGAGAAAATCCACAAATACCCCTCGAGCTTCAAAATTAATCGGGTATTTGCCTCAACCTCCCCTGCAAACAAAAGATCGTTCCAAGTACGAAGTTTTCAGGGATAAACACATCCTGTAGGATTTCCCGCAGAATTTTCTATAAAATGTCGGTTGTTTCTAGGAGTCATGTAATATACAATACAACAATTCCCCTCTCCATCGAAAAGTTAATAGAATAAATAAACAACGGAATATCATCGTCCGGATTTTTTTCCTCACCACTAGATGGAGTAAATGAAAAGCATGCCGACTGACCGTTGGAATTGAATTATTTTTAGATGACAGGATGGGGGGGTTCACCCCTTTGATAGTGGCTAAAAATAACTCGTGAGGCCAATCTGCCTCCAATTATTCCATTTAGGTATTTAGGTGACAATCGACTGGCCGACAATTTAGAAATATTCCATACGTTTAAGGGGTCTCCTCAGTAGGACAGAGCGGGGATGGGCGCGCGGGAGAGTGGAGCGTAAAATGGTTAAGTTAGTGATGTTATTTTCGAGAGAGACGAAACGTCAAACGTGGCGTACGTTGGATAGTGATAGACATCGCGCCAATTATTTTTATCATTAATTTATTCAACAAATTAACGGTAAAGGTCAATGAGACTTCGGGTCCGTATTTTTGAGAGTTTAATATAGGGAAATATAGCTTCCTTTGTTGGAAAGTACATTGTCAACATAGGGTGAGGGGTAAGGAACAAAATAGCGTCCATAAGGCCAATGTGTAAACCGAAATTTGAATGATTAATTAAAAACGAACAGAACGATAAAACTACTCACACTTTTTTTAACAATTTTCCTTTTACCATTCTTGATTACACTAGAGGATTATTATGGCACTAGGGGGCTACGCCCCCTGCTCGCTCCGCTCGCCAACCCCCATAGGACCCCCATGATCCTTATTCTGACCCTCGTGACCCTTATTTTGACCCTTCATTGATGACCCTTAATTTTGAAGTCTTAATTTCGAGTATCAAATATTCATCACCAGAAGTCAATTTACATTTTTATAATGTAGAGAAAGAGAAAACCTCATTTTGACCCTTGGGACCCTTAGTTTCCGACCCCCGTGACCCTATTGGGACCCTTAATCTGACCTCTGTGATCCTTAATCTAACCCTTGCGACCCTTATGTGGATCTTTCATCTGACCTTCATTGCAGCCCTCATGACCCTTATTTAAACCCTTTCTCTGACCCTTGTGGACTTTAATCTGTTCCTTGGGGCCCTTATTTAGACCCTTAGTCTGACCCTTATGACTCTTAATCTGACCATCGTGGCCCTTAAACTGACCCTCGTGACGCTTATTCTGACCCTCATGACCCTTATTCGGACCCTTGTGAGGCTCATTTTGACCCTCGTGACCCTTAATTTTGGAGTCTTAATTTCGAGTACAAAATTTTCATCACCAGAAATCGCTTTAGATTTTTATAATATAGAGAGATATTCAGCTCGCTAGCACATTGTCGTTTTTTGGCGAAAATTACAGAGGAGACCCCTTTGAAGCCCCCAAGGGCTACTCCCGTCGGATTTATTCAATATCGTTAGAGATACCCATAGCCCCGATAAAAATATTTCAATCTGAAAACAACACAGTCAGCCGTCAAGTATTTTGAATTCTGTGTGAACTCGATTTCTAGGAAAATCAAATATCATCAGTTTGTTCGGATTAAACCGATGATTAATTATAACGAGGGGTTCGTGATCTTTCAGTTCTATTTATAAACTCATCAGTCACTCCTACACAATTAAAAATGAAACGGAAATTCATTCATTGATCAAAGACGAGTATTCTCATTAAAAATAATCACTCGTTTCCACTTATCTTCATGCGCACATGCAGAAAAAACGTAATTAATGAAGTCATAGTTCCATTGTCGTATGTATGCCTATCGACTTTGAGGAGAACAATCATTTTCTTGAATCAATTCGTCGAGCAGTGAGACTTACCAAGTCAAATGGACGAAGTTGTCTTTTATATCTTCTTCGAAAAACGTGTGGTTTTTAAAGAAAATACCTGTTTTTTTTCCATGGAGCTGACGAGAATTCTGACAAAAAATGTCTTGAGATTTTCTTATTGAAGTTGTCATTGCATGGATATAAAAGTTAGGACACTTTGTGTCCGTCAAACGCTGCTTTACGGACAGTGTGATGAAAAAGTTTAATAGAAAAACCCAGCGAATTCGTTAGAAAATTCTATTGGATCCTATTGGTTCTATTGAACTTTCTATTAGTCTGTGGCCGATTCTACTGAAATTTTAAACAGAAAATATTCAATAGAAAAAGCCAATAGAATCCGATTATTCCATATAACTTGGTCTGTTCAGATATTTTCTACAGAATTTCCTCGGCTCAAATTTTCCAAATTTTTTTTCATTCCATTTTTCTCTTCTTCTCATCAAGAAAATGAAACAAAAAGCCTTCGAAAATTTGAGCCGAGGAATTTAAATATCTAATAGAATATTTTCCATGGGAAAAACGACAGTAGTTGTCCATGGGTCGACTGAGACGCACCAAACTTTTACTCTGTTCCATCCTCAATTGATAATTTCCCCTTTGAAATACTCAAATGATTTTAAATAGACCTTTCAAGCTAACAATGTTAAGCACATATTAAATTATTTTCACAAAATTACTTGATTAAAGTAATCTTTCCCTCGCAAGTTTCAAAATATGAAAATGGATAATATTAAAACAAACAAGTAGGAAATTGCGCTTGTATTGCACATATTAGTATAGTTATTTTGGTAATCATCTTTTAACTCCGACTTAATGGCATTAAAACAAAACATTTTAATCTGTGATTTAATTCATTTGAAGCATGATATTCAACGATATTTCCAGAATTCTGATTTTCAAAAAATACAAAATTTTTCATTTTCAAAACATAAAATTCTCCAAAACATTATATTAGTCGTAAATTACCCTGAGTGATCTTAATTGTTAGCTCAGAGCATCGCCGAGTCCATATAGTACTGACAAAGGCAAATAATCATAGATCAAAATTGTGTTCTAGCTTTATTTGACTCTCTATTGAGTGAAAAAAGCGAGTCGAACGGTGGTGTTTCTCCGTTTACTCATAAAAATGTACTGATCCTCAACTAATGTGTTTCTAAATGGTAAAATTGATCCGGAATTTCATAAAAATACACCAGCGACCACAAATAATTACTCAATCTCCATAGTAGGAATTCTTCTGTGAGGATGATAGATTTCCACAAAATGGGTATCATTACTTTCAAATGGAAACGTATAGGGTTTTACATCTAGAGCTATTCATTGCACCTTTAGAAATTCCCCGCAAAAGGGGCTCTTGATAAACTTCTGCAATTGGAAGAAAGACTTCGCCCGCGCATCACTTGTCAGAGGTGTAATATAAGTTCAGCTCTTTATCATCGTAAAATGCAATCAAGTTTTTATCACTCATTTCTATTTCTGAGAAAAATCATTTCAATATACAGTAACAACATTATAAAGCATCACGGACGACAAAATTTAACAAAAAAACCTATCGAATTCGTTAGAGAATTCTATTGAATTTCTATTGAACTGTCCTATTAGTTTTTGACCGATCTATTGAAATGTTCAATAGAAAATATTGAGTGGAAAAAGTCAATGAAATTCAATTTTTCTATACAACTTATTCTATTGAGATATTTTCTATAGAATTTCCTCGGCTCAAATTTTCTAAGTTTTTTCATTTGATTTTCTTGATGAGAAGAAAATAAAAATAAAATGAAAAAAAATTGGAAAAGTTGAGTCGAGCAAATTCTATAGAAAATATATGAAAAGAATAAGTTATATAGAAAAATCGAATTCTGTTGACTTTTTCTATTGAATGTTTTCTACTGAACATGTCAATAGAATCAGCCAAAAACCAATAGAAAGTTTGATAGAAATTCAATAGAATTTTCTAACGAAGTCGATAGGTTTTTCTATTAAATTTTTTCGTGCGTAATGAATTAGTTTTTTCATTTCGCCAACGAGTTCTCTTCATTAACGCGATAGTAAACAGTTTTATATCACTCGCCCATTTGTCAGAAAATACTTTGTGGACATAATGATATAATGCATCTAATGTTCATGGACCTAATGATACAATGCATCATTTTCCCATTATTCCATTATACATTATTTCAACATTGCATTCGCAAAATACAAGGTGAATGAGTTTTCGATTCAGTTAATTTCCGCTCTTCGTGACTACATCACCACATGGAAAAATTGGGACAACAATCTCTAATGTTTCTAATTTTTCTAGAACCGCAGATATAATGAGGCAACGCAAGAATGGCGGCATCAAATCGGAGGACAGTATCTCCGTTCCTGAGGAGCAACTCAAGTTTGGTGACGCAAGGTTCCTCACATCATTCGTACTTGGCCGGAGTAGGTAAGATATCTTTATCGGGGATGCGAAAAAATAACGTGACATGTCACTGACCCGTCATGTGACACGTCGGTGATAGTCGTGAGACGTCAGATGAGAAAATTGTCACTAATTGACCATCTGAACGTTACATTTCATCGGACTAGTGGCCCCACAACTTGAAATTCCGAGATAACCCCATGGTTTTACGATGACAAGGCGTTGAATTGCATGAGTGCACAATACAGGCAATAAATGTGTTCAAAGCAAAACGATCAAGTGAAGCTGTGAATCAACAAAAAATATGAGAAAAGTGTGTGACCAAAAAATTGTGACTGGTCAAGTACATCTGCATAGCTGATTTGTGATATGATAAGAAACCTAATGATAACATTAATTATCAACAAATGTGATGAAAAAATTAAGGGCTGTCAATTTATATTTAAAGAGTTGGTAGTAATATTTTTCCGTACTACTTCTCACTTTTTCCAGTCCGGAAATTGGTATTCGAGGTCACCATACTCTTTTGTTATCAATTTTTTCGGAAATTGCACACTAGCTTCTGGAAATTGCATCTGATAATTGCATAGTAGCTCTTCATTTATTTCTAACCAATTGGATGTTTTGCTGGAAGAAGCCCTCGAATACTGCGCTCCGCTTGGTCAAAATCTAGTCCCTGAAAATTCTCCGTCGAATTCCCTTCAAAATTAATCGCAATATTTCCCTCAAGTTCAAGGGGAATTCGTATAAATATATTATTGAAGCTTTTTTTTGCAGAAAAATCCCTCGTGCTGCGCACTCGGATTTTTTAGCCTGCAAGACACTTAACACTTTCATTTGTTTACAACAACGCTATCGAGAAATATTCCGATCATTTTGAAGGTCTGGGGGAATTATAACTGACAATTTCTTTAACTCTGATTTTGGCCGATCAGAGCGCGGTGTTCGGGGTTACGGGACATATTTCACCAAAATGTGAGGAATATCTGTCAAATTCATGACAATCGACAGAAACCTGTCCCGTGATCCCGAATACCGCGCTCTGATTAGTCAAAATCAGAATTGAGGAAATTGTTAATTGAATACCAGGTTGACTATATAAAACAACAGTCGAATAGTGCAATTCTATTGGCTGAAATTTGGATGGGAAGAATTCTCAGTGAAATTCAAACAAATGAGGGTTTCAAGTTTTGCACGTTAAAAAATCCTCAGCGCTTGCGCGAGGGATTTTTCTGCAAAACTTGGCACGATCCTTTGTTTGCAGGGGAGCTTGAGGGAAATACCCAAATAATTTTGAAGCTCGAGGGGCATTAAATAGCGTCGGATCATTTTTCCCAATAGGATTTCTGTCAATCAAATGCAGTCGACAACATCGGAAGGTGAATTAGGGAAGATTTGAACAAATTATGTTAATAGTAAAAAATAAAGAGCCACTGCGAAATATTGAAAAGCTAGGAGAAAATATCCGAGATAAAACTGTCGGCTAGCCTCAAATACTGCGCTCCGATTGGTCGAAATCCGATGGGGAAAAAGAATCAATGAAAACGTTAAATTTCAGTTCTATTATTCTATAGATATCGAAAGAAATCAAGGGAAATTTGTATAAATATATTATTGAATTTTCAGTGAATATTGGCGCTTTATGCTCTCTCCCTCCCCCCCTAAATCCAATTTAATGTCGCTCTCCAGAAATAACTACTAAAAGGTTCATCAAATTGCATTTTTCATAATTGCTAAAAACCGAATTCAAAATTCAATAAAATCTTTATTACAAGTCATTTAGATAAACCCATTTATTTGATTCAAGTAATGTATATTCAATTCGAATACACTGAGAAAAACGAAAGGTTTTGAGTGCACTGATACGTGAAATACACACGGAGAGAAATTTTCTAGAAAAATTCTAGTACGAGTACTGGAAAAAATCACAATCCACCGGCTGTGAATAATTCTAGTGCTGTTAAGGTAAAATTTCTTGGTATTTTTGGTAAAATTTCTGGGATTTTCTATGAAATTTTCACAGAAATACGGGGAAAAATTCACCTTTTCCTCAATAAAATTTCTAGTGCCGGTACTGGAATTTTTTCCTGGCCGTCACTTTGCGCCTCTTTTCCCGTGAAATTTCTCTCTGTGCACTAATAGAAAGGATTAGTTATTGTTCACGAATGAATTTGGTTGGAGACGAGGGTCTATTTGGTCTCACCAAATGTCTATTCTTTAATAGTTAACAAATGCACATTTGAGGAGCCTTGTTTGACTCGATTTTCACGTTTCAAGCGAACCATTAAAATATTAACATTAATGTTAAAATTAAAATATTTTGGAGTTGAGACTTGAAAACTGTCGAATAAATCGATTCAACTAGACTCGGTTTGAGGAATCACTTTCTTGTCATAAATAAATCATCCCTCAATTTTCTTAGAATTCTGGTCAAGTCTGCAGTCTCTGAATTTGCAGAGAATGATAAATATGTCAATTTCAGTTAAATTCAATGGAATTGCCATGGAATATCGAATGCTGTCATGTTATTTGATGACTCAATTCTGACTTACGGAGAATAAATTTGCCTTCTGCATCCCTGTGGCCGAAAAATTGCCGAATAGAATGATTAATCACACTGGTGGCACACCGTCGACAGGTCAACGATAACTAAACCCTAGTGTCACCCTTTCCCGTTAATTTATATTGAAAATAGCCACCTGATTGTCCGACGTAACATATCACGAAATAGCGTCAGGGAATACCTTAATCCCCACGCAAATAGGCCCCTGATAACGCGTCCCCCTATCATTCAACATTGACATTAAACTCCAAAAATTCAATCAATCATCCCAATGCGTCGTCGCCCCGACATTTTATCAATTCAGACTCGAATGTTCTCATGCTCACATGCTTCTTGTTACTCATCTTAAATTAATGGTTAACGAGTAGTGTCGTGCTTGGCTCGATTTCGACAGTTTATTTTGTCGCGGAGCTATTAACCCTGGGCATGTAGCATCGTACATCACGGGGGCAGTCGTTTCACGCTCGAAATTCGTTCTCAAATCAATGCCCGCACTCCTATTGTCTCTCTTTCAATATGTTTTCTTTCTTTTTATTTCGTACTGACGCCACTTCTTTGGGAGCTTGAGGCGCCGCATCCAACAGTTTAAGAGACATCAGTGCAGACATAGCAAAGTAACGGAAGGAATCGAAAGTTTTTGCTCTGTACAATTATTTTGGATTTTTTTTTACATCAAATTGAGTGAATTAAAATTGATTTCAAAAGAATCGTTAGTTCTCCTCGTCCGATTTTCTTGTTTCGGTTGATTGAATGGATTGTTCTGAGATGAAGGTAGGAATTATTTAATTGAGTGGATTTGTGTGCTGATAAGTGCATTTCAGTGATTCATTCATTTTTTCCGTTTTGAGTTTGAAATTTTTTGTTGGGTAATCGAGTTGAATAAAACGGAGAAGTTTATTTGTGCACTTACGCACGAAAAAACTTAATGGAAAAACCTATCGAATTCGTTAGAAAATTCTGTTGTATTTCTATTGAAATTTCTATATAACTTATTCTTTTCATATATTTTCTATAGAATTTGCTCAACTCAAATTTTCCAAGTTTTTTTCATTCTATTTTTCTTTTCTTCTCATCAAGAAAATCAAACGAAAAAACTTGGAAAATTTGAGCCGAGGAAATTCTATAGAAAATATTTATATCTAATAGAATAAGTTATATAGAAAAATTGAATTCTATTGACTTTATATTTTCTATTGAACATTTCAATAGAATCAATATTAGGTTTTGGCTGATTCTATTGAAATGTTCAATAGAATCAGCCAAAACCTAATAGAACAGTTCAATAGAAATTCAATAGAATTTTCTAACGAACTTGATAGGTTTTTCTATTAAATTTTTTCATCCGTGCTGTTAAAAAAAATGGAATTTCACGGACAGCTGACTAATAATTTTCAGGACAGTGACACTGAATGTGATTTAGGGAGGGGGAAGAGGGGGGGGAATCATGAAATTTCAGGATTCACTGAAAATTTAGTAAATTTCCAGCATTTTAAGCAGCAGTGATAGGCATATCAATCAATCATAATTACTGTTAAATTGTAAAGTTGTCAATTTTCAACATAAATCTTAAAATTTTAAATATTAAATTAACCATCAATTTGTACATTTAAGTTTCGAAATATTCTATCAACCAATAATTTGGGTAGGAAGATTTCAATGTGATCAAATATTTTATTCACCACCAATCGGAAAATTTAGTTAATAAATTCTAAAATATTTTAAATTGGTTAAATATTGTTAAACTTTGAACAATATAAGGAGATAATTCCTTTTTAATATTTTCACAATCTAATATTATTGCCCATCCCTGTTAAGCAGTGTAAAGACAAGAATTCCTTAATTTATTTGAATTTCCAATCTAATACGAATATTCAGTGCCAAATTACATTGAATTTTCAGTGAAATCTGAAATTTCATCTTTTTTTCCCCCCTAAATCGCATTCAGTGTCACTGTCCTGAAAATTCAAAAATGTATTTACCGGAATTTTCTGATTTTCTATTCATTTTCAGGGAAAAATGGAACTGAAATTGATAGTTCTCTTCAATTTTTCCACGGAATTCTGAATTTTCAATGAAGAAATTCCTTGAAATTTCAGTAGTAATTAAATTCGATAAAAATTTCCAAAAAGTGTACCGGAAATTTCAAAAAAAAATTTATAATAGTGTAATGCCTGAGTGGAAATTTCGCTCAGGTTGTCTGGGTCTGAATCAGTTTTAGATCCAATACTGGTCAGGATTTTCCGATCAGATCTCCCGGATATAAGGACCTAGTCAGTTTCTGAATACGTTATCTGGATCCGGTATGGCTCAGTCACTTCTGATCCTACACTGTTAGAAATTTTTTGAAAATTAAACAATAGTTGCATTTGAATTCTCAATATTGTAAATGTGAGTTCAATTTAAGATCAATAGGATTTTCCATATTAGATTATCAGTGATAAGTCAATGACATCTAGAATTTTCAAATTCATTTCGGAAATTGAACATCACATCCAACTGAATTTTCAATGGTTTTAAAATTCCGGGAAATTGTTGCTTGAATTTTCAAATTATTTAATCATTTTCATTATGAAGTGGACCTGATAATTTCAATTGCATTGAATACTCCAGCATTCAACTAGTTTTTCAATAACAAAGTACATGAAAATTTCGTGTGAATGAGTCATTCTTAAAAATTTCAAGATTTTTTACTTGAAATTTCAGGAGCAATTTTCTAACAGTGTGTCTTGATCAATCAAAGCTCGTAAAATTAGACTTAACATTCCTGGTTCAGTTCGGAACGGAAACATCTGGCCTCAACTCCGATAGGGTGTGGTAGGAAATTCTTGATCAGTTGAGCATCCAACCTATCGGATCTGGGCTTTTTTGAAATTCTGAACCTTTCCTGCTCTGCTTTGAATTCAGAGTACCTTAAACACTACACATTTCCCAAATTTTGGTTACCGGTCAAAATAACACACGTAAATTTCAACACACAGATTTAACAATAGTATATTTCGTGACGAGTGCAAAAAAGCGTTTTTTGGCGAGTGGGAGGTTTATATCACGAGCCGAAGGCGAGTGATATAATCCCACGAGCTAAAAAACATGTTTTCACGAGTTACGAACAATATTTTTCATCACAATGTGGCGGAAATTGGATATTTTTCATCATTGTGGCGGAAGTTCACTTTTCGTCACAGCGTGATGAAAATGCATTTTCAATACTTGACAATTTAACATATGCAGATTTAATACATGTATAATTGTGTGGGTGTGTATTTGAAGTTTTGTCTCACCTTAATAATCCTTACACGGGGAGAAATTTTCTAGAAAAATTCTAGTACGAGTATTGGAAAAAATCCACCGGCTGTAAAAAATTCTAATGCTGTTAGGGTGAAATTTCTGGGGATTTCTGTGAAATTTTCAAAGAAATACGGGGAAAAATGCACGTTTTCCCCAATAAAATTTCCAGTGCCGGCACTGGAATTTTTCCTGACCGTCACTTTGCGTCCCTTTTCCCGTGCTAGCACTTGTGATAACAATTGAGGGATTAATAATAGGATGACTGAGTATTCGACCACCTGGGGGTAATTGTAATTTAATACAGATTCAATCCAATTTAATAAAGATAATATTTTTTGTGATCATGACTACACTGTTATAATTTTTTTGAAATTTCATGGAAGATATTCTAGTAGATATCAATGAGAATGACATTGAATCGGATTTAAATATTAGGGAAAAAATGCTTATGAAATTTTAAGTTTCAAGTAGAATTCACGAAAATCACATCCAAATGAGTTTTCAGCAGGAGTGAGATAAAAATTTCACAGCTTGATTGAATTTTCTCACAGAGAAAAATGTTCAGTAAAAATTACGGAACTCACAATTTAAATCAAAATCTCAGTGACGGTATCGTAATTTTTCGCAGAAGATTCAGATAAAAATTACGGAACGCTCCGGAAAAGTTCCGTGACAGTTTCGTAACATTTCTACAACAACATTTCGCTCCAGAATTACGGAAAACATGTAATTTTATTGAATATTTCTCTCCGTGCAGTGGAAAATGAATATTCAGAAATGAATGGCATGAATTTTTACACGGAGAGAAATTTTGTTGAAAAATTCTAGTACTAGCACGGGAAAAGAGGCGCAAAGTGACGGCCAGGAAAAAATTCCAGTGCCGGCACTAGAAATTTTATTGCGGGAAAACGTGACTTTTTCCCCGTATTTCCGTGAAAATTTCACAGAAATCCCCAGAAATTTTACCAGAAATACCAAGAAATTTTACCTTAACAGGACTAGAATTTTTCACAGCCGGTAGATTGTAATTTTTTCCTGTACCCGTACTAAAATTTTTCTAGAAAATTTTTCTCCGTGTAGTTTTCCCTGAATTTCCCTGATTTTTCTGAATTCTCACAGAATGATTAACCTGAAAATTCAAGAATTTTCTTGATTTCCAGATCATTTGAACTCACGATCAATGGAATATATAATTTTTCAATGACAAGATTTCCTGCAATTTCAGTGGAATTTGAACACGATAAAAATTTTCGGAATTTGGCAGGAAAAATTCAGACTAAAATTCGTAACAGTGTACGTGGCGACGTTTCGAAAACATTTTATTTCATCATCAGAGCTAGCGGTCGTTTATCCAATACTTAATCGGATCAGACAGTTCTGCAAACGTTAGGAATGCGCACTGCATGGACTTATCATTCATCTGAATGTCAATTTTGATAATAACAAATCGTCAAATTGATAATTATAATCGCAAACGTATCGTGATGAAAATTCCAACATTAACATTCCACTAATCATCTTGTCATTGCTACAGTCATCACTCGTCTGCATACGTAAGTGTTTAAACAACTCCGTGACGTTCACTTTCTCACTATTTTTAAACTTCTAAAAATAAAAATATCTCTCTCTCAATCCCGAGAAAACGTAAAAATTCAACTGCACGTGCCATCAACATCGCACGCGCGCATTACATCGCGTAATTTTCCATCGGTTACATATATGCAGGATGTTCTTTTTTATTTCATTCAATTGAAGATACCGTTTATGTATTGCTTTCACACAGTGTCGCACACCACAGTACTCGGTACACATGTGATTAGGAGAGATAAGCGATTCATGAAGCAGCATAACGCAGATGGTGCGATAAACCGAAAAAAAATCGGCAATTACAAAGGAAAAGTATTCAAGTCCTGACATTTCCGTGAGTTTGACTTTGATGCTTTGTGTTCAAAAACAAGCAAAAGTACATACTTCACCCTTGTTCTCTTATTTCTGAAAGAGTAAAGCCTGTTTACATGTCTGTGGTGAAGTGGTGAAATGGAATGAGATGAGTCAATTCCACTCCAAGGTCTTGCGATCACAGGTAACAAAAAAATTCGATTTTCAGTAACCCACGGGCGAAAAACCTATCGAATTCGTTGGAAAATTCTATTGAATTTCTATTGAACTGTTCAATAGAAAATATACAGTAGAAAAAGTCAATAGAATTCAATTTTTCTATATAACTTATTCTATTGAGATATTTTCTATAGAATTTCCTCGGCTCAAATTTTCTAAGTTTTTTCGTTTGATTTTCTGGATGAGAAAAAAAGAAAAATAGAATGAAAAAAACTTAGAAAATTCGAGTCGAGCAAATTCTATAGAAAATATATGAAAAGAATAAGTTATATAGAAAAATCGAATTCTGTTGACTTTTTTTATTGAATGTTTTTTATTGAACATGTCAATAGAATCAGCCAAAAACTAATAGAAAGTTTAATAGAAATTCAATAAAATTTTCTAACGAATTCGATAGGTTTTTCTATTAAATTTTTTCGTGCGTGCCACACAGCAAAAACGAATGTCTGAATTTCACAGACTTTTTGTAGACATTTTTCCGACACTAAAAAACGTCTGAATAAAATGAAGATGTATCTGCATTTCAGAGAAACAGTTGCAAACATCTTAATTCATGTTTGCAATTCAGATAAATTGTCATTTTATTCAGACGTTTTTTAGTCCCGGAAAAATGTCTATAAAAGGTGTGTGAAATTCAGACATTCGTTTTTGGTGTGCAGTGCCCCAACGTTGGCAGCCAACATTGTCCCAACGTTAAAATTTTTTACCTTTCACTGAATATTGGTTTCAAAATATAGTTTTTCAACAACAGCTAATATAATCAATCCCACCGTGTTGAAAAAATTTAACTGAATTTTCCGTAAAAGACCTTGAATTCGATCTAAGGGGAAAAATCAATGAAATTTCGAGTTTCTCTGAAAATTTGTGGGAAAATCTCAATTTTTAGCGGCTGAAAGCCGAAAATTCCACAATTTACATGAATTTTCATGAGAAAATGAATATTTATTGCCCAATTCCCTTGAATTTTAAGGAAACTCCTTTAAAATTGTTGGAACTCCAAAAATTTTTGGAGGAATTCCCTGAAAATTCACGAGAACCTGGAATTCAAATAGTGATTGTCTGAATTTTCCAGATTTTTCGCTAATTTTCCTAGAATAATTGAACTGAAATTTACAGCTCCTGCGGATTTTTCCATGAAATTAGGAATTTTCAATGATAAAATCCCTTGAAATTTCAGTGGACGTGTTATTCTTTTTTGTACGGCCTTCGAGTCCTTTTTCGGATCCTATTCGACACTCTATCCAACTCTATGCATGCGGCTGTGGATTCTACACTGTACCGCATTCGCACTCCTATAGAACATAGGAGTAGCATAGGAAACCACAGGAAACCTATGCCGGTACAGGCGGTTATTTTATTAGCTACTTCAAATATTCTATAAAAGTCCAATAGGATTTTTCAATAGAATTCCAATAGAAATCCCATAGAATTCCTGTAGAATTCCAATAGAATTTTCTAGCGAATTCGCTAGGTTTTCTATTAATTTTTTTCATACGTGACGTGATATGTCTCATTCTATTCTTTTATTCTTTTCATGAAGAAAATCAAACAAAAAACCTGTAAAATTTGAGCGGAAGCAGTTCTATAGGAAATATCTCAGAATAAGTTCCATAGAAAAATCAAATTCCATTGACTTTTTCCACAGAATATTTTCTATTGACTATTTCAATAGAATTGGTCGAAAACTAATAGAAAATTGAATAGAATTTTCCAGCGAATTCAACCATTTTTTCTACCCCCTTCCGCTCGCCCCTTTTATCAAAACAAAAAACCCCGAAGATGTCCCGCAGAATTCGCCGAAGAAGTACTTCCGGAAAAACCAGTTGTTGGCTCTGTGTCCGCTCCCCTTACCAAATGAAAAAAAGCCTAAAGCTAAATCTGGCGAATTCTGTCTGTCTCAGGATAATCTCCCCGAACGTCTTGCCATCCTGTTCCCCGGGTATCTTTCGTCAGAAGTCATTTCTCGGTGTGACACCAGGCAGTGACATTACCCCCAGCAACACCCATAAAACCAAACAATACCTCAAATTTTAGTATATTTCGAAGGCGAGAGTTGCAATCATATGAGCTAGAAAAGTTTTTGTAGCCCATGTGACGAGCAATATTTTTTGTCACAACGGCTGTAGGCAGTGATGCCTTACGGCCGGAACAACAAAAAATTTTCTATAGAATATTTTCTATTGAACGTATCAATAGAATCGGCCAAAAACTAATAGAAGGTTCGCTAAAAATCCAGTGGAATTATCTCGCGAATTCGCAAGGTTTTTCTTCCATTCGAGAACAAAAACCGTGAAAATGGGTTGAAAAAACGCAGTACATCCTCAAGCCCCCTTCACCAAAGCAAAAAACCCCTCAGATGTCTCGCAGAATAGGCCCCGAATTCGCCGAAGAAGTACTTCCGGAAAAACCAGTTGTTGCCTCTCTATACGCTCCCCTCACCCAATGAAAAAAAAAGTCTAAAGCCAAATCTGGCGAATTCTGTCTGTCTCAGGATAATCTCCCCGGACGTTTTGCCATCCTGTTCCCCGGGTATCTTCCGTCAGAAGTCATTTCTCGGTGTGACACCAGGCAGTGACAATACCCCCAGCAACACCCGCAAAGCCAAACAACACATCAATGAGAGTATAAATAAAAAATCATACGGCAGTAAAAATTGGTCGCCGCGCAGAGTGGGTGGAGTTGACGGTAACGGTGGTGGTATTCTCAATTGGGGTACCAGAAACACCGGCAAGCACACACGCTTTGGCACGTCACTGGCCAACAAAATGGCGTCAGCTAGCACAACAGCGGTACCACAGGGCTGGCCCAATACCAAAGACGACTACGAACTCAAGGAGGTTATCGGTAAATATAAAAAATGTCACTTAACAACTAATTCACCAGTGGTCAATGCTTGCAATTAAAATCACGAAAATCGAGTGGTCATATCGATAAATCATCCTGTGTATCACTCGCCGGATTGACGTGCTACGTCAGATTGTACTGTGTTATGTAAAATTCACGGTCTAACGTGACAAATTCTCGTGATTATTTCCGGATTATTTGATTAATTAAACTGCGCCCGTGTTGGGGACTCATTTGTGGGGTCAGTGAGCCAAGATTTTCACTTAACTTTTACGGGAAACCGGTTGAGGCACTGCCTAACCTAGATCGTTCGGTGAAACGAGAGTGACGGGATGATAGTTTTGCGGATGACTCTCGCAAGTTGAAGTCGTTTTTGCTGGTGCAAATATTCGACGCATGTCTGGGCACTTTTAGTTTGTTGGGGGACTGGATGAGGTCTTGGATGAGATCCAAATATTTAATGAGTCCTCATATTAACGCACGCTTAAATGATTTAGGGGGGACAATTGCGCCTCTGTTTTACGTGACCTCATTTGTATTTTGGAGGAGTAATTAATGTGTGACGTTGAGTTATTTAAATTGCTTCTGTTGGGGTTTGATCAGGGGATTATCGCGACTGAGATGGGATGATAAGGGATTTTGTAACTTTTTTTTTTGATAACACGTGTGTGGATTTAAGAGTGTTGAGGTCTGTGGGGGGATCAGGTGGGTGGAGAAATTTTATGTTTATTCTTCTTGGGTTGTTTGACAGGAGTCGGCGCGACAGCCGTTGTTCATGCTGCCTTTTGTATTCCACGTCAGGAGAAATGTGCTATCAAGCGTATAAACTTGGAAAAATGGAATACGAGCATGGACGAACTTCTGGTAGGTGATTTCTTTGGGATTTGTGGGTGATAAGATAGAGATTAATCAGTGCAATTGGTTGGATGTATCTTCTGTGTATTAGTGGAGCGATTCGTCGTAGTCCATGAGCCTGTCCTTAAAGTAGTGCAAACAGGTGGCAGGTTTTTCTTACCCAACATTTTTCCCTCCAATTTTTCCGCGTACCGTTTCTTTCTCGCAGATTTTTTCCTCGACATTTTTTCCTTGAACACTCGTGCTAGGACTATTTTTTTCCCACTTTATTTTCCTTTCATGTCCCTTCAATAATTTTATTTATAAAGGTAAAGAGTAGTGAGTAGGGGAGAGTGGGGCAAAATGAAACAGTCAAAAAACGGCAGTTTGGCGCAATTCCAGCAAAAAAAATATTTTATTAAATATTTTTTTATTCTTGGGAGTACTGATGAGAATAATAATTTTTCATTCAGTAGAATGGAAAATTATTGAGAAGTTTTGACGGTAGACGATTTTGTCTATGGATTAATTGAAAAGAAAACGAGACAGCAAAATCCAAAGTCCAGAGCAAGGCCCAGGGGGGGAAAAAGGAAAATGTAAAGCTGAATTTCAATCGAATGAAAAAAGAAAAGTCTAATTGGCCTAATCTAATCAATTGAATTATAAGACGAATAGAAAATTATTAATGTCACCAGTACTCCTAATAATAATAAAAAGTTGATAATCAAAAGTTGATAGAAAACATTTTTTTTTGTTTGAATTGCTTCAAATAGTCGTTTTTCGGCTGTTTCATTTTGCTCCACTGTCTCTTCCCATGATATTCTGTTTCTGTGACAATTTTCTTCTACAATATTTGTGAAATGCAGTCGTTTATATTTACAATTGTAATAATATTTGTATTGTTATTGTATGTAATTACATACGATAATGCACTTGATTATGATCTTGCGGAGCTTTGTAATTAGTTGAAGTGGTGATGATTTCTTCTTTGGAAATTGTAGAAAGAGATCCAGGCGATGTCGTCCTGCAACCACGAGAATGTTGTCACGTACTATACGTCGTTTGTGGTGAAGGAGGAACTGTGGCTCGTACTGAGACTGCTCGAGGGTGGATCACTTCTTGATATTATTAAGCACAAAACGAGGACGTCTAACTGTAAACATGGAGTTTTCGATGAAGCCACTATTGCCACGGTACTTCGGGAGGTACTCAAGGGGCTTGAGTATTTTCATAGTAATGGACAAATACACAGGTAATTAATTCCGATGAAATCATTTAATTTTCGAATCGTTTTCTATCTACCATCAGCCTGTATTGAAATCCGTCAAGGGATTCAACTAATCGAGAAACTTATTTGAAGAAGAAATAGTTCATGCAGTAACTTATGATTGTTTTCCTTTTTGGGTGAAAATGAAGAACGGAATTGAATCTTTGACTTTTAGAGAAAAATTCAGTAGCGAAGTGGTCAAACAGTTTAAGTCGATTTTGGCTATTGACCAGTTTTCAATGAATGTCTCGAAATCTAGGAGAGATAGCAAAATTTGTCTCATAATCTTTTTAGTAGCACTCAATTCGCTCTACAAAAAAGGTTGATATGAAAATCTCCCTTAAATTCGGAAATATTTCTGGAAAACTCAAATAAAGACTAAATTAACTTGAACCGTTTGACCACTTCGCTAGAGAATTTATAACACATTGAATCATTGCCGGAGTGACGGTGTGATCCCCCCCCCCTTTAAGACTCCATGATTCATCCTAGTTGATGATTCTGTGGGACCAGAGAATTCCAACGTTTTCATCATTGTATTGAATGTACTGCGGAGTATTTTCATTGATTAGAATTCATACCCAATCGTAAAGAGGGAGATAATGAAAAATTTCACATCGTTTCGCAGTTATTCACCTCTGCAGCGTCGGATTGGACTTTTCTCAGTTTTAAAAATTCACGTGCAGAGTATTTTGCAAATGTTCTGGGTAAAGTTCCCGGTGATTCATCGTACAGAATTTTTTGGGCTATTTAAAAACTAAAGGCTTTAGAAAAAACATGATTTTTGTAAACTTCAAATTACTCATTAGGATTGTAGAATAATTTTCAGATCCATTGGGGCTCACAATTCCGTGACTAATTTCCTCTCGCCAAATTTCGAAATTTTTCGAGCAAAAATTTAAGTAGTTCTAAAAATTGTATTGAGTCCAGAATATCTATTTTCAGATAGACTATTTTAAGACTGTCATTAATCATAGATCTAACGTTGGAAGCTATAAATTTTTGTGACAGAAAAATTCATTGGTCTCCAAAGGGTGCAGAAAATTCATATTAATTTTTTCGAATATCTTTTCAATTCCGGCAGAATATCTTTATATCTTTTAAAAATATCAAGTCCTCAGAAAGAAGAACATGGATTGAATCTTTGATTCAAGAATATCCAAGTGTTTTGGCTACTCTTTTTCGTTGATTGAGATTTTTTTCCACTTTTGTAGTTAAACATGTAACTACCTCATTCGACCTCAGATTATTATTCAACATTTGGTACTGATTCTATCCTTTAAAGGGTAACATAAGGCCACCGTTTCCTGAGAATTTTGAAACGAATTTCCTTCTCAAAGTTATTAATATTTTTCGACATCAAAGCGCATTGATCTTCATCCCCACCTCCTGGAGATTAATGTGCCTAAATTTTTAAACATTTTGATAACTTTCGGCAGGGAATGTGTTCAAACATTTGAAAAATAAGCGGCCCTAATAATTCTACTACCCCTTGAACTTTGAAAGTCTTCATTTGATTAAATTTGATTAAAAATGTGAATGAAATTATAAAGTTTATTTTAAAAAATTATAACTTACTGGAAAAGGCAATTCGTGGGGCTCAGGACCTTTCTCATGACTCTATAAGCAATGAAATTTTCCCCCTAAAATGGATTTTGTCGAAATACTAAAAGATTTTTCAGATTCAGAATTTTACCATGAATAGATTCCACGAAAACCAAATGAAGATTTCCAACAGTTTGAACAATCTTCATGATAAATTTTCCATGATTAATTGTTCATCCAAAAATTATTTTCAGTATTAAATAATATTTATTTACAAGAACACAATGCTGCAAATAATTTTTTTTCTAAATGTCATTTCCACATTTCGCTGATTTTAAAGATCAGAGGTATTGGAACATTCTTCAAGCATAGTTTATCTTCAGAGTCTCCTTAAATGTTGCATTTAAAATTACAAAATTGCTTATTTGAATGTTCTATCAGGAATATTAGCAATTATCATTGAAGTTATTAATTCGAGAAAAAGAAATTAGGGAATTAGGGAATTCAATGAAAAACTCCTTCATTTGGCCTTGCAAATGGTGATCGCCATTCACCTCCGGCCTAATCAAAGAGGATTAGTCTGTTCTCTTTAAGCTTAATGAAGGAGTTTATCAATGTATTTATCTGAGCAGTTGAGATTTAAAAAATGAGAATTGCGGAAAAAATAAATCATTATTGAAATTATTTCAGGGATATTAAAGCCGGAAATATTCTCCTCGGTGAAGACGGAACAGTTCAAATAGCTGACTTCGGTGTGAGCGCTTGGTTAGCAACAGGCCGTGACCTAAGCAGGCAAAAAGTCCGTCACACATTCGTTGGCACGCCCTGCTGGATGGCGCCTGAGGTCATGGAGCAGGTGAGGGAGGAAAGTTGCACTATAATTTTCTAGCTTGCAAGATCTGCGCAGTGTCTGTCATAAGCATGTTTGTTCATGATGGATTGCATTATCAATCACATTCACTGACAAACAATACATGTACTAATATCTTCATTCATCGTAATTTACTAACAAAAATATGGGCTGACTTAATATGCAGTTCTCTTACGCAAATAAAAAGTATGCTAATGCTTCATCATTTCGAAAAATAGAGATCTCCGGTGATGAATGTCGCTGAGATGGGAATTAAATCAAAGCTTCACTCGATGTTGTGAACTACATAATTCTTATCTTCATGTTGGCACATTGAATTGAATATTTCATCGATTTAATTTAACTCAAAATATGTGAAAAGTTGATCTGCACGCTGAGAAAAAAAATTGTGTACTCGATCGAAATTATTATCGATCACTGGCGATTGTTGTCATGCAGAAACGTATGATAATTCCTCATTCATTTGTACAGGATCATGGTTACGATTTCAAAGCCGACATATGGTCCCTCGGTATCACTGCCATTGAAATGGCAAGTGGCACTGCCCCTTATCACAAGTATCCACCGATGAAGGTACTCATGCTGACGCTGCAGAATGATCCACCGACCCTGGATACAGCTGCTGATGATAAGGATCAGTACAAAGCTTATGGAAAGACATTCAGGAAAATGATTGTTGATTGCTTGCAGAAGGATCCAACGAAAAGGTATTCACATCGTTGATGTCATTGAAAAAACAATTCTTCAAATGAACGATTTATGATTAATGAGTTGATTTTATCCAAATGATTCGATGGAGAAGAAAATATGGTTTAGTGGTTTTCAAGGAATTGCGATGAGTAATCTGTGTGAAATATGATATATTTACATTAAATGCAACCATTGAGGGATTGATAGAAACTGATAGACAATTGGATAGTCAGGCTTCTGATCAGTGATCGGCATCAATCATTATTTTAGAAATATTAAGAGAATTTGAGAATTAAGAATTAAGAGAATTTTTATCATTGGAATTTAGAAAATAATAAAATAATTGAGAATTTAAATTTTCAAATAACTATTAGGAAAATCACTGGAAATTTACTAAAAAATGTTAGAGAATATCAAATAATCGTCAATCTTCCGAATTCGATTATTGATTGGTAAAATAATTCGGAATTTGAATATTTAATTGTTGATTAATTTAATAATTGGAAATTGTCAAGTTATATTACTTGATTGAGTATTTATGAAATTAATGACAATTATAATTTATGATTATGCCTATCTCTGCTCCTCATTAAAAATGAAATTTTTTATCTTTCTAACTTTTTGTATTATCACTAGACCAGAGATCCAAGTGAGATCCAGGTTTCCGATTCAATGGAAAAAGAAATTGTTGATTAAACTTGAATTGATTGTATTGAAAAATTATTTTGATATACAATCCATTTACTGACAGAATAATTCGGGAGTTAATGGAAATAAAGAGCTAGATAATGACTCCGGATTTTAATAAATTTATAATAATATCCGTGGTTCAATTAACTATGGAATTAATTAATAAACCCATTAATTGCTGTTAAGAAATAATTGCTCACAAATTATTCACCCGATAATAATTGATGATTAAAATGAGACAATCTGAAAAACTGAAAAATCAATCGTTTGAAACAATAATTGTTTTCAGTGAAATATTATAATGGTAAAATAATACTCCTTTTGCCAAACCCAAATGGTTTAAATCAAGTCATCCATTCACGAATCCAATAAATTCACGATTAAAATTCAAATCATGTTTTTGATAAGCCAATATGTTTCTACAGACCAACAGCAACAGAATTGTTGAAACATCCGTTCTTCAAAAAAGCGAAGGACAAGAAATATCTGCAGCAAACACTCGTCGCAATTGGTCCAAGTCTAGAGACTAGAGTACAGAAGGTAATTCCCTCAATTTCTCTCCAAATTTTCCGTTAAATATGATTCGTTACACAAAGAATGGCTTTGCAGGCATCGAAGCGCCAACCTGGGACATCCGGTCGTCTCCACAGAACGGTCACAGGAGAGTGGGTGTGGTCCTCGGAGGAGGAAGACAGTGGTGCATCGAGCGGTGACGAAGGCAAGGAAGCTCTGCCCGTCAACACCATAGACAACGTCTCCAGTGAAGAGGAGCAGGTCGATCAGGAGGATGCCGATGGTCTGGTAAAGTCAGCTGCCAGTCGACTCGTCATACAGTCGTCTGAACAGAATGAGCCCATTAATTTGGTGCTGAGACTGCGGTAAGTGCACTTATTATTCTGTTGAAATTTTTCCCTGACGATTCCACATTTCGTTGCAGACGTCCTGATACCCTTTTCGCCCTCGAGGAAAGAATCACGTATGACCTATCCTTATTATCCTTTTCCCTTTTCAAATTTAAGTTTCATTTTTTTGTGTTAGGATAACTAAATATGGTCTAAAAAACCGAATGTACGATTTTGAAATGGTGTATGTATGTATGAGTGTATTTGGTCTTAATTTTTTTTAAATGAAATTTCGTTACAGAGGATCTATTGAACTATTGAATTCCATGAATTTTCTCATGAATATAGACTTGAATAAGCTCTATTCATTGACACCAATTAAAATCAATTTTTTCACAAAGATTCGAAAAATTTGATATTTTTTAAAAATCGATCTGTCAACGGTCACTCAAAAAATTGTAATCAAAATGGAATTAACCCCTCACGTACGGCGCCCACATAACGCGGCTTGTCCCAACGGCCGGGAGACTTACGGCGCGTCAACTCCGTTATCGTCGAACGAAAAAAATTGAAATAAAATGCATTGGCTGGATTGAACTTTGAAATAAACTCCTAGAGAATTTTCTAATTTTTTACACCAATTTCAACGTTTACCGACAATTGGTTGCCGAGATTTTCGAACATGCTATATTTATTTATAACAAACAAATTATTCAACAAATCGAAATTTAACTTCTACCATTCGATAGAAGGATCATTGAAATATTTTCAGTAAAAATTTCAAAATTTTTGGGGGAAATTTTGTCGATAAACGAGATGATCTAATATGTTTGAATCGGTTGGATGTCAAATTTTCAGCAACAACTTTTGTTCATAGAAAAAAATATTATAAATGCATCGAAAAAAACAAAATAGTTCGCTGCAGAGACAAGTTCATTAACTTTCCAAATATCTTTTCCAATGTCAATATGTCTCTTAGAATTCGAGAACATGATTTTTTACTGTTGACGGAAAGGGTCAATACCATGCATTGACCCCGGCTGATAGGACAAGTTTATGGATCGATGCACGGTATCGACGCCGTACGCAAGGAGTTAAAGTAACTCTACCCTTACGGTAAATTCAAAGATTATTGAAAACTGCAAAAAAATTGCAAAAAACTCGATTAGATTCGGAATTCTAATTTTTTTCTCAATTTAATTATCGTTATAGTTTTTCAAAGAAGAAATGTTCAAAAATCAGGATTTAACCCAGTGTCTTATGTGAAAATCAACATTTCCATTGTAATCAAAGATTAAAATCTGAATTTCTTTTCATTAGATGTAAAAAATCAAGAATTTTTTTGACACCTCATAAAAAATAATCCACTGTTTTGCAAACAATTTTTATTATTTATTTATAAGAGGGAAATGTTTGGAAAAAATATCAATATTCTGCGAAATTTAATTTAAATAATACTGACTGGGTATGAATTTTTTCAAATTTTTTCCATGAACTTTAGTTGAAAAATTTTAAAACTGAAAATATCCAAAAGTACAGCGTAGCCCGGCCGAAGGGTAGAGCTACTTTAATCATGGGTCAAACAATTAATATCAATACCATCTTGATTCTATCAGAATATGATAAGAGTCACACCATTCGTTGTTGAATTACAGCATTTTGTTTATCCGATTTGAAAGAGAATATCGGTTTTTTCATCATTACTGAAAAAATCATTACTGATATCAATCAAATCAAGACTCGGAAAATTTATTTCAATGTTTTCTTCATCAATAAATGAATCAAGCTAGAGTAAAAAATAATGTTTATCCATATTATGTCCCGACAGGAACCAGAAGAGGGAACTAAACGACATTAGATTCGAGTTTGCAGTTGGAATAGACTCGGCAGAAGGCATATCAGCCGAACTAGTTGGTGCTGGTCTAGTCGATGGCAAGGACGTCGTTGTCATAGCTGCCAATTTGCAAAAACTCATCGACAGCGCTGGTCAATTACGCACTGTCACATTTCCACTGGTAATTACTGTAAACTCCAATTATCTTCATTCTGTAATTTTAAGGGGCAATGGAATTTACCATCGGAGTACAAACGGGATTCCAATTGTTTTCGTCGTCAGACAATTATTGCGCAAAACCCAAAGTCTTCCATCATTTATAAGCTTGGTATCAATTATTTTAAGAATTTGGGTTTTGCCAAATAATCATTGTATGATGAAATAAATTGGCATCCACTTTCTACCCCAATCGTAACTATAAATCCCAAGGCACTACCACCCAAAAATTAGTCCCTATAGATTGGAAAAAATTCTAAATGACTTAATTTATTGCATTCTCATAAGTTATTGAATTTTTCTATCCTCATATGCTGTTGGTGAAGGCAACAATTATTATTATTACATAATAATAATCCGATAAAATTTTTAATCTCCAATTCTCAATTTCTGTCATTTATTCTATTCGTTCTATCAAAAGACAAGGATAGAAATCGAATTAATGGGTATTCTTCCATTATTCGAAAAAAAATTTCAGGTTGAATTTTCTGTTACTATAAGTTCAAATCTCTAATTTTGAGCAATTCGAAAAATTTTGACCTGCAAAATCGACTTACTGAAAAAAATCATGGAAGAAGTATTACTTTGAAAAAAAATTTCCTCGAAGAAAAGCAAATTTTTGTTCTGGGCAAACCTTCAAAAAAAATTCTACCTCTAATTTTGAGCGGTTGGGGACAACTTTGATCTACAAAATCCCATTCTTTAGGAAAAATCATGAAATGGTACTTAAGAAATAGTACTTGACAAAAATTATCCTCGAAAAAAAGGAAATTGTTTTCAGGCTAAAAATTCCCTTAATCATTTTCTCCTCAACCCTTTGATTGTCTCATTACAGAACTCTGGTTATGCTGTCAATGAAGTACCCGACGACAAGGCACTGATTGGTTTCGCTCAGATCTCCGTAACAGACTAGGCCCTCGCCTATCCCTCGTTATATTCTTTTTAAGAATATTCTAAAATCTCAGAATAGCGTTTTCACACGGTACGAATAGAGGAGGTATGAACTGTTGGCTTTTTTTTTTAATGACCATCTGAATTTCGGAAGTATTATGGGTGAATTATGCCTTCTGGTTGAATCAAAGTTGCAATTGAGATGAGAGAAAAATAACGATAATAATCTTCTCGTACCAAATTAATTGTTCAGTATTTTCCTATCTTTGGAATTATACCGCGAATATCATACAATTTCAACTACAGGACATCAAGTATCCAAGACTCGTTATTACTGTCTGACAGTAATAAACATTAATGATGAAATAAAGAAAACTGCTCAGAAATTTACCTTACATTATCAGAAGAATGAAAACAATACTCTGACGCTTGTGTGGAGGGCGTTTTCCTACTAGATATCAAATATATATTCAAGTGAACGTGAAAATTATATTGCTTACTACACGTACATTATCAGAAAACACTTGCGTCAGAGTTTAGACTTACTTTTCACGAATTTGTGAATGATGAAATCTATCAGTGAAATTGTAGCTGACATTTCACTATAATTTATGTAAATATTAGTTTATTTAGTTGATTCAATTTATTCATCTCCTCTGAATGTTTTGAAAGAATATCCAAGGGAACAGCCAAAAATCATGAGAATAATCAGAGCTGGGGAGCGATTTAAAAGCATGGGAAGTAATACCTACGTTACTTATCGAATATAAGTGGCTTTAGCGTTGTTTTATGAAGAGTGAAATTATCGTTCAGGCTGTATTTTAGAGAGTTCCCTCAATTTCTCAAAATTAATTCCTGCAAATTATTCAGAAAACTGTTTCTTATACATTTTTGTAAAAAATATCAGTGAAAAATACGAAATCAATTTTTTTATGGTGAAAAATTAGAAACCTTGTGAAAAGGCACGTAGAATTTGTTTTTAAATCTTAGTTAGTAGTATGGAATTGTCGAAATCAGTTCTAGAACCAAAAAAAGGAAATTTTGAAAAATGAAAGGGAACTCAACTCTGAAATTTGCAAATGTCTGGTACAAAAGTCGATTTCTTGAAGTATAAAGTTTCATGCTTCGATGCCTTAGGATTTAGAAGAGACAAGAGTACTAAATAATGATAATATAATGATACAATAATAAAATTCTTTTGTACTTAATCGAAGTGAAAAAAAAAAGAAAAAAAATGTTATGGAATAGCGTGTTCATAGCTTGACAGTTTTTAGGTATAAACCCGTCGTAAATTTTTATCTTTCCACTCGCCTATTTGTGAAGAAACAACGTTGTTAGGTGTTGAATAAACATTTCTGGCCTTACTCTGACCATTTAAACAAATCATAAGCATGTTTGTTGGCTCTCAACTATTATTTCTCTTCAATTCCCTTCAATTCTCTTCATTTTCTCGAGAAGAATAACTTAATTTGACTTTGGAGTGAGTTATTTACATGAATATCTTGGATTTTGGGGGAATTGCAGACTTTTCAGAGTACAACTTACAAATTATTTTCAAAATAACTCAGACTTCGTATTTTCCTCTTTCCAAAAGTTGAATTATCATTCTAAGATTTTCAGATATTCTCCAGAGCGGTCTTCAAGTGATATTGACTCATCTCATTTCATAACTTCACGACTGAATTCACTAACAAATTAGTTGTTACTCACTGTTTTTCCCTTTCTGTCAACAAAGCGAACAATAATTACAGTTTTATAAATTACGAACCAGGGTATGTGTCGAAAATCATTGAACCAAGCTAGATTCTCCCATTTCGTTCTTTATTTTGTATCTATTAAGTCGTTATCTCTCATTTTGCCCAGCATTATGAGTTTAGATGTGTTTTCGAGATTTATTGTAGATCAGATTTTCAATTGTAAATATTCAAGGTATGTTTTGTTATATTTTATCTGAAGAATTGTAAAGACTTCACATGAACATCATCATTATAACTTTTCCAACAGTCGAATATGTGAAACGGTCAATTTTGGATGATAATGCAGTGATAATAAATGGAAGCCTATTTATTACTGAAAAAGAAATAATGGCACTATTCACACAGAATTTAATCTCTTCAATTACTCCAGAAGGTACAAAAATTTTAATTTCTATATTGTCCAGACAGTCAAGTCGGGATAATGTAATGTGCCTTATGCAGAGTCCATTGCCACTGGTTTTATTTATCATGCAAAAAGGAAAAAAAAAGCCTCATCGAAGGGAAAAAAAATCACCTGGAGAAGTGAATGGAAATAGACATCACTCATCAATACATTATTTTAAGAGTGCCAGAACAAGAAAAAAAAATTATGTTATATGTAGCATTTAAACATGTACTGAAAACAAAAAGGAAGAATAATAATTTATTTGTAATAATAGCAAAAAGACATTGAAGCAAGATACACTGTGCTTTATTCCAATGATAATACGATATGTTTCTTTCATTCTTTTTCTCTTCATATTAAATATATGATTTTAGTACTTAATCTACGGTGCATTTTCTATTGTGTACTGAATTATACGATTCTCTTGATACTCCCGGAGGAATCGAGCTTTCTACGAATAAAGTTCATCAGATTTTTGCCACAATAAAAACATGTTTATCGATAATTTTACGTTTTATTCTCGACAAAAACAAATGAGTTGTTACGAGTCAGCATTTCCTATTTTCGGTTTTTACAGAGAAGTGTCGATCGGTCAAAAATGATTTTGGAACTCCTGGCAGTGCGGAAATGAGGTAAGGAACCAAATGAAAAACTTTCAAAAGATTATTTAATATAGTTGAAACGATATTTTAATGAAAAAAAAACCTCAACTTTTTTAAAAGTTTATTTAGTTTTTGTATTTTGAAAATTCTTGAGAAAGACGCTTAATCGTTGATTCAATTCTGCAGAGAATAAGATAGTAAGTTGATAAACATGAAAAATTATGAAGGAAAAAATTGAAAAAAAAAACAGAAAAGAATTTTAAAAATTTAACTCTTATTTTCACAACGCATCCAAAGTTGTTACATATTACAAACAAAAGACCATTTTAGACAGTGTCAGAACCTTTAGAAACAATTTGAAAAGTAAATTAATAATCTCTTAGAAACAGAATGTTGATTTTTAGGAAACTTCACTGTTAAGTATTTTTAGTTGTTGAGAGTAAAGATCTGAGTTGAGTCGCAATTTAAAAGTTCTGGTATTTTTATGATCTTAAGACGAATGCACAATTGTTGTATTCCGATGGACACGCGTGTTAAATGCTGCTGATCATGGTATTCAAACGGCAGCCAGTTTGTGAGCTTGTTGGATGCCATGATTGCTCCTGTCAACACGTTGCTACAAGAGAAATAATCACTTGATTGTGGGAAATTCTTCAAGATTCTCTGAATTTAAGGGGAGACTACGACGAGTTTTAAAAGGCGCGGGCGATTGGAGTGAGAATTCTCATGCATTGAAGATCGATTAAAAATGTATAAAAACGAATAATTAGTGCATAAACATTAATTGTTTATTGTTCAGTTGTTCCGTAAACGCTTGAAATGTTAAAAATAGTCCAGGATCTCCAATTTTTGAGCTATGGAGGTTTTTTTCTTCAAAATTTTTGAAAATACAATACAATAATTTATAACTCAGAAACAAATTTATCAATTGAGCTCAGTTTAGGTTCGTCACAAAGGGAAAGAATTGTTCTTTGTATTGAACAAAAATTATTCAATTTCATCAACATTTCAACCCCTCATTAACATTTTAAAAAAAGTCTAAAGTGTCCGTTTTACCCCAATCTCCCCTATAGCGGTTTTGGCAGGTATCACACACAAAAAATTTGAAAATTCCCCTTTATTATCCTGTGAGGAATAATGTAGGAACAACGCTTAAATTATCGACCTCCTAATCTTCTTTACCAACAATTTGGCCGATCACACTTCGAACCCCTTCGCAAGGCGCCACTTTATGTTATGTTGTCATTTTTTATGGTGTGTCTCTCGTGGAACATAAAGTTTCGTATATTTAATAATTTATTAATTGTAAAATCACAATATTTGATAACCAATCGTTTTAAGTACTCAAGGTCTCAACACACTACGCTTCTATCAACTCCACTCCACCTTTCGTATAGTGAATATCTGAGAACTCCGATGTTTCGTAGTGATTGTTGACATTGACTCGTCCATCATTCCATCATTAAAATATTGCAAGTACGTAATACCAATCCTATTTCCTAATCATAAAGTTTCAATTAGGGCGATAAAATGGTCACCCAAAGAAATAAAATATTTCAATATATTGCTGCATTGAACCAAAATAATTGAGTATGTCGACCGTAAGCATTATTGGTTAGAGTGACAAATCCACTCCTCATCAATCTCACAGTGATTAATACTCAACTGTTTCATGAAATGAAGAATTGAACAATTCCACAATGGCGTCAGACAATCTAGGACGCACCACTCCACCTAATGAGGAGACAAAGAGTGCAGGTCAGCCACTGTCAGATTTCCTAGTCCAATTGGAGGACTACACACCAACAGTAAGTCCCCTTCCCTTCTTCCATCATTCCCAAAAATAATTACTCATCAAAATCATCAATAACTGCATTTCCCCAGGTGCCTGATGCAATAAGTGAATATTATCTGCACACAGCAGGGTTCAACACAACAGATCCTCGCATGTAAGTCCCCCAAATCCAATCAATCTCCCTGACAAATCCTTCTCCGTGACCACAACTCTAATCAAAATAATTTATTCTTCCAGAGTTCGATTAGTCTCCCTAGCAGCTCAAAAATTCATCTCAGAAATAGCTAACGACGCTCTGCAGCACTGCAAAACCAGGGGAGCTAATCAAACCACAAAATCAAAGAGCAAAGATCGTAGATACACATTGACGATGGAAGATCTCACTCCGGCTGTTGCTGAGCATGGAATTATCGTCAAGAAGCCTCACTACTTCGTATAAAATCCACGACTTCTCAGTTTTTGTAATGCCAGCCCACCCCATCAATTGTACCCCTTATCTCTTCCCACAAAATATAAATTCAAATAAATTCTTTTGGATCGCTGTATCTCCCTCCTTAATGGAAAGTTTGCGCCATTTGTTAAATGTTTCGACAAATTCAAAATCAGAACAAAATTTTGTTTTTTTTTTCAAATCACTCTGTCCGATGCCAGCAGCAGCTACTCCTATTCCAGACAAATGTCCAGATTGAATAGCTCAAGCATCAACAAGATTCCGAGAGCGTTGCTGGGTTTCTTCACTTTATTCCTTACTGATATAACTAGTTCGTATTAGAATTCTGGTGAAAACATTGTCCAGGTGATCTTGCTGGTGTTTTGCTTCGTTTGTTTTCAATACTGAATCTCTTCATGTAAGGAATTCCATTATATTCCTTATCGAGGGTACCTTAAGGATATCCAAGTACTTTGGCTATTCCTCCTCCAGTAAAATACTTTTCTACTTTTGTAGTCGAACATCAGTGCTTTCATTTGATCCCCGTTTGACCCTACGTTTCCGGACATTTACAATGATTTTATTTAAAATTTGCAGCTCTGAATTTGAATCTCGATATTAAACTATTGGCAACATTTTAAAAATCTGGGAAAATAGAAAGTTTGCCATTGGAGGAAAATTATTGAAATAATTAAAGAACTGCAATTCTTGAAAATTACGAACATTTTCTACAAATAATTTATAACGATCAATTTTCCACCATAAAAATCATTTGTTCGGAATCTTAACAAATTTATTCATATTCAGAATTTTACCAGAAATCTATTTCATGCTCAGAAAAATACGGTTTTCGAAAGTTTAAACAACTTGCATTATTTATTAGAAAACAACAAATGTTTAAAAAATTATAATAAACAAAAAAAAAACAAAATAATGGCAATAATAATATAATGATAATATATATAATCATAATATAATATATAATGATATAATAAATAAATTATGCCATAATTAATAACTATTATTAATTATTATTAGTATTTTTGCCATTATTTCTCGGCAATATTTCTCCATAATTTTCGCCGTTTCGCAATCCATATGTTAGGAGAAATATATGAATAGGGGAATTAAGGGGAGACGGAACCCCTTTGTCTACATCAAATCTTAGAATTGTGTCTTCTCCTACAATTATTAATTTCTAGGGGAGGGTAGGGTAAAATGGACACTTTTGACTTTTTTAAAAATATTCGTAACTCAGAAAGAGATTTATCAATTGAGCTCAGTCTAAGCTCATCACAAAGAGGAATGATTGTTTTTTAATTGAAAAATAAAATTATTCAATTTCATGAACAATTCAACACGTCATGAATATTCAAAAAGAAGTCAAAAGTCCATTTTACCCTACCCTCTCCTATCTATAAAATTACTTTATCGACTCGATTATCGCATTGTTGAATCAATGAAGTAGTTTAATGAATAAAAAAATAATAATTGCAGGAGAAAACACAATTCTGAATATTCATAAAAACGCAGGGGTTCCGTTTCTCCTTAAAAAGAATAGAGCTTCATGCAAGTTCCCTATTCAAACCAATATTTACTTGTCATTTTTCATCGTAAATACCTCCTCAGATGGTCACCAGTCCGCACATGCGCACACCGGACTCCACCGTACACACAACTTGATGACTTTATTTCAGTTTTGAGTCCAACTCAGTCGGAGTCAGTTAGAGTGACATCGCGATCGAGGTTATAATCAAATGCCTTCCTCCAATAATCGAATAATTGAGGCTAATTGAGGCTTTTTACCGTCAATGTGCATAATATCAAACATCCCAGTGCTTTTTCACCTCCGAAGATCAGTTCCACCCCTTCCTCTCGCGGTATGAAGTCAGTAATAATCGGGGAATTCGTTCGATTGGAGCATGACCTCGAGCAGGCAGTTTTTCCGTGGTCCATTTGTGGCGCAAAATAGGAATCAATTCGACAGACAAACACGTTAATCGCTCTACTCCATTGATTCGTCTCCTCATCTGGCTGAAAGGTTTGCATCAATTAATTCATTGTTTCCCCCCACTTTATCTCACCTTTGCAAAACGCACGAAGACATCCCACGCACAAACTACTGTTTGTTAAATTTCGTATGAAACCTGTTGAGGTAACGCGCTACCGAACAACTACTGGCGGGCACCCATGATTTATTATCATTGTCCTTTTTTTTGTTTTCTCTTCTTCTCGACTATTTTTCACCTTGAAAAACCGAAGGCTCTCCGCAGCCAGCGTTCATGTACAACTATTTTTATAACGCAACCGGTGTTCGCTCATCTGCATTGAGATTAATTCGATGTATCAGTGGTGGGGAATTGTCTGTGTGAATTGTTGACCGAACGTTGGAATATTTAATTAGTCTCGATCATAATCAAAATATATTCTTGTTTTTGCACATGTCATTTGTACTTCCTAGATTGAAGTGTTTACATATTGGCTGGGACTTTATTTTTCACTCCTCTTTACGTGCGAGTGGGTGCATTTTTAAGTGAATACGTGAGTTGCATTTTTGCATTTTGTTTATCACCGGGGTTAAATTAATCTTCGAACTGCCATTAGTCGGTTTTTTATTTTTATTTCCAAGTGTTTGATGGTCAACTCGGTGTTAGTCTTTGGTGTTGTTGTCTCAAGGTTTAGGAGTAATAAAAAACTTTATTTGGTACTTTACATTGCAGAACTGATGCGGTGCAACCGAGGTATTTCATAACAAATGTAAGTCGAGGGGGGTGGGGTATTTTTTGTTGGATAATGGTTGTAAGGAATTAATGGGTTTTTAAGGATCATCTTCTGAGGTGGAAGATCATTGGAAATTGATAAATGTCACTTGTGGGTCGGGATAAGCAAATTTAGATGTCATTGGTAATTTGTAACAGCATATTGAATTTTATGTTGAACAAAATTATCGACTACTTTAGTAATGGAAAAAAATTTTAAAGCATTGTCCATTACTCTCGTAATGAATAATATTCTTTAGAACATTTGTCGGCGTTCCACGACTTTTCAACTAAACGAGATTTCAACTCACAATCTTTCTTTCTTGCTCATTCGATAATCATCCGAGTGTATGCCAACAAATTGAAGAAATCTTGTCAAAGATATTGTAAAAAGGCAGTAAATATTTTTCAAAAATACATTTGAATCGTTGAAGCAGGAAAATTTTAGTTGAAATGTCGTAGTTGAAATATCATTCAGTTGATAAGTCGTGTCCCCTTTGTCGGTACTTTAACAATTAATAAATTCAGTATGGGTTTTCAGAATAATGTTAAATAATATTTTATTATTGGAAATTGATAAATGTCACTTTTGGGAGGGATCAACAAATTTAGACAGTTATGTCATTTTTAATTCGTAACAACATATTGAATTTTATGTCCAACAAAATTATCGACTACTTTAGTAATGGAAAAAAATTTTAAAGCATTGTCCATTACTCTCGTAATGAATAATATTCTTTAGAACATTTGTCGGCGTTCCACGACTTTTCAACTAGACGAGATTTCAACTCACAATCTTTCTTTCTTGCTCATTCGATAATCATCCGAGTGTATGCCAACAAATTGAAGAAATCTTGTCAAAGATATTGTAAAAAGGCAGTAAATATTTTTCAAAAATACATTTGAATCGTTGAAGCAGGAAAATTTTAGTTGAAATGTCGTAGTTGAAATATCATTCAGTTGATAAGTCGTGTCCCCTTTGTCGGTACTTTAACAATTAATAAATTCAGTATAGGTTTTCAGAATAATGTTACATAATATTTTATCATTGGAAATTGATAAATGTCACTTGTGGGCAAGGATCAACAAATTTAGACAGTTATGTCATTTTTAATTCGTAACAACATATTGAATTTTATGTCCAACAAAATTATCGACTACTTTAGTAATGGAAAAAAATTTTAAAGCATTGTCCATTACTCTCGTAATGAATAATATTCTTTAGAACATTTGTCGGCGTTCCACGACTTTTCAACTAGACGAGATTTCAACTCACAATCTTTCTTTCTTGCTCATTCGATAATCATCCGAGTGTATGCCAACAAATTGAAGAAATCTTGTCAAAGATATTGTAAAAAGGCAGTAAATATTTTTCAAAAATAGATTTGAATCGTTGAAGCAGGAAAATTTTAGTTGAAATGTCGTAGTTGTACCTAGCTGTCACTTCCCATGAGGAGTTAGTGTTTTGTTATCCACCATAGACAATGACAGCGAATAGATAATTTGCCACAGCGAAACAGATATTTGTAATTTCCACTTTTTTCAACTCATTCTGAATCTCAATTAAAAACGCTCTTTGAAAAAGTTCAGAATTTTTTCTATTTTTTTTATCATTCTATCATAAGTTTTGGGAATTTCTACCTGATGTACCACTCAATTGCAAATTTTGGATTACGAAAGATGAAAAAAATCCAGATAACATTCGAAAGATAGTACACCCGGGCCTTAATCGAGTTTTCTGGAAATTCTTCGCAGTGTTCAATAATTTTGGGATTTATCATAACAGTAGAGCTATTTTATTTTCTTGAGTGCAATAGCAACATGTAGTGTTGGGGCAATGAATACTGATGGACACGTATGATTGCAGACTTCAGACGGTGGTATGAGTGGTGCGGTATCCATGTATGATGGATTGGAACCAGAGACAGGGAGTAACAATGTCACCCTGGCGCCAGCTGGTGCAACGAAGAAATTGGCACGAGGAATATCTCGTGCCACTGAGAATGCTGCCATCGTATCCCATGCTAGAACACAGCTGGCAGCAGTTGGGACTGTAGATACACCTGAGTTCACGTTTTCCTTGCCAGATCTGTCGGTTTATCCTGGTAATTAACTCATTTACTTTGGGTAGTGGGAGTACATCTCGGGGGGCAATTCTTGCATTAAAATAGGGAACCTGCATGATTTTTTTTCAATGTTCTAATCTCAAGTTTGGGACATGAATAATTCATTTTTCCTTCACAAATGTTTGAAAGATTGCTCATTAATTAATCATTAGTTGTTAAAAATTAAAAGTTGAGGGTTTCAAACGCTTTGCAATCGCTAATGACCCGCTAACCAAATCTTGAGGTGCGCCTCGGCCAATGGAGAACGACAATTCCCCTTAATTCTCTCTTATTTTCGACCAATGAAGCGTTACCTGATCGTCTTCGTGACGTCATGACCGAAAAATTAGGCTCGAAAACGACTGATTTACAATTAATTATCATAAAACATCTAGGCAATATTTTTCCATAATTTTCGAAGTTTAGTTATCCATATGTTACGAGGAATGTGTGAATAGGGGAATTACAAAGAATTGAGCTTCATGCAAGTTCCCTATTAGAGTAAATCGCTCCCCCAGCACTTTCAGTAATACCGAAAGAATAGAATATTTCATGTTCTGGATGCTGGTTTTACAATTTAACATCTACACAAGCTACACCACCAAAAAAAAGGTTCATTTGAATCAAATAAAAATCTGTATTTAGAATTTTTTACTCATTTCAAAAGAAAGGATTGAATTACAGAAGATTTTTTTTTCAAAATTTTCGGAAAAATGTGTGGAACAACAATTACAAGCCAGTTTTTTGGAATCCGACTCCTACACCGCTGATTTAAGTTTTTTTCATATAAAAAAATTCACTATTTGTGTAAAAAAATACAAAAAAGCAAATTTAGCCATGTAAGAGGCGAATTTAAAAAAACTAGCTCGTAAATGTTATTCCACATATTTTTCCGAAAATTGTAGAAAAAAAATCCTACGTAGCTCAAAAATTGGAGGCCCTGGACTTTTTTTGGCATTTTAAGCGTTTTCGGGCAAACGAACAATAAACAAAATTTTTTTGCACTAATTATTCGTTTTCAGATCTACATAATCGATCTTCTATGTATGAAAAGTCTCACTCCAATAACCCACGACTTTTAAAACTCACAGTAGTCTCCCCTTGATAGAATTGAATTATTATCATTTATTATTTTATTTATTGACGACTAGCTGTGTGGCCTGGCTTCGCCCGGGGAGAATAAGAGAAAATTGAATACCAGGATTTTTAGAAGTCCTGCAATTAAAAAAACACCTCAATGTTTTTGACGTTTCTAGAATACTCGAGAATTTTCTCAATTTCTTTCGAAAACCCTCAAATTTTCTTAACTTCTCAAGCGTTCTAGAAAAGTTGAAAACACTGAAGTGTTTTTTTTTTCAATTACAAGAATTCTCAAAAATCAATTGAATTACTCAATTGGAACAAAAAAAAATTTAGAAAACCCAAAAAAATTATTTTTGCCAAATATCCATTTACTCGAGAGAAGCATTTATTTTTTCAAAATCGTATTTTACCTATTGGGTCATTCCCAGTCAATCTTCATGAGGTCTCAATTGTAACAATTATATTACTCCAGAAGATGGGCATGTTAGTTTTGACCTTGAGTGCGCTCCCTCAATAATTATCAACATTAAAAAATTTATCGAAATTATTCCTTGTGGAAAATAAGAAATGTAGGAAAAATGAATAATCATTGGAGGAGTTCATCCAAGGTCAAATGCAGCATAGTCATCCTCTGGGAATGACCCAATGGGAGAAATACGATTTTGAAAAAATAAATGCTTCTCTCCAGTAAATGGATATTTGGCAAAAATAATTTTTTTTCTCACTGTGGCATTAATGGCAGAGTGGCAGTAATGATTTACTGAAATTCATTCCTCGAAAAACTACATTTTTGGGGATTTCTCGAGCCACAAATGTGAAAAGCTAGGTGATTGAGATTAATCGCGGTCAGGTTAGTGGAACATAAATTTTCAACTGGCGATGACAAAACTAACAAAGACTTTTTCGGCGTAATGGAGAGATGAATAGATACGGCAGACCAGGAAGTTCATTTCAACAGGGTCTGTGGCATGAAACGTTGTGGTTAACTTTAAACTCTGGGGTCTGATGAACATTAAGGGCAAATTAATTCATATTTGGTGAAAACATGAAAAATTATGGGTTTTCTTATCGGTACTCATCCATAATGTATGGAAGAATTATCGATAGACGCGAGACCAAGGAAAGTTTTTCAGAATTCATCAACGTCTCTCCTTAATACTGTTTGTCTATCGTAATAAATGGGATAAAAGAATGAAAAATATGGATATTTAGTAGAAGTTTCAAACTCTTTAGGAAACTCGTTGACGAGAAAGCGGAGTAATGAAATAACATGGCCCTCTTGGAAAATATATGAAGAATGATAATATCTGTTTTAAAAACGATGACAAAAATCTGGAATTTTTCATGTTTAATTTTTTTTTATTAAGAATTTATGAATACATTGAGAAGTTAGGTATTTCTCAATAAACCACTTTACCCGAGGAAGAGCAATGGAAAAGCTCTCAAACACAAAATTTTTTCTCAAAATTCATCAGTTTAGTAGCGAAGCGGTGAAACGGTTCAAGTCGGTTTCTACTATTGGCCAGTTTTCAGTGAATATCTCAAAATCTAAGGGAGATGGCAAAATTTTTGTCATGACCTTTCTCGTAGCCCTCAGTTAGCGCTGCAAAAAAGATCATAACGAAAATTCCGTTATCTCCTTTAGATTCGGAGATATTCCTCGAAAACTCAGCTAAAGGCTAAATCGACTTGAACCATTTTACCGCTTCGCTACTAAATTAATATTTAAGCTTTCTTTAAAGCCCGATTATCCACTAGTCTCGTGAACATTGTGCAATGACTTTGTCCTTTATACTTTTCGAAGTCTGACCTCGTCTTTCCATTTTTAACTTAAAAACATTCCGAAAATCAGGGCGACACTGTGGAATTCTTTTATATTCATACCCGCGTGTATTATCTTTCGAACGTGATCTCGGTTTTTTTTTTAAATTTTGATAATCTGAAATATGAAGAGTGATAATATCTGTTTTAAAAACGATGACAAAAATCTGGAATTTTTCAGGTTTAATTTTTTCTGATTAAGAATTTCTGAATACATTGAGAAGCTTGTTATTTCTCAACTGAAAGAAAAATGTTCTCCAACTGAGATTTAGTTTTACATGGCCCTGGAGTCTCCAAAAATTATGATCGTACAATCAAAGAAGCTATGAAAAAATTGAACATTTTCAACGAGCATTTTTTAATAATATTGGGAAATAAACCCAATAGGGAGGATATTACAAATGAATAATTCACTGTATCTAGTGGCTGTTGGGTTGTCATTTGTCACAGTAGCCAATGGCTGTCAGATCCTTAATTTTTTTATTGTTTAAAGTGCGAAAACCTACATGATTTATTTATATCGTCTGTAGTGGATTTACAGTTTCCATATCAACATTTTTTATGTGATTGCATTTCATAGGACAGTCATATATTGCTCCACGATTACTTGCCTTGTTTGGTAATTTTTCTTCACCTTTTCCTCCGTGTAGTCGCCAGGTATTGAAAAAAAATCTAACTAGCTGTACTGCACGTTTTTGGAGGTAATAAATAATGAAATGCGGGTTTCTAACACGCGAGGCAGAGACCCACCCCCGGCCCCACAACTCGATTTTTCCATCTTATGAGAGAACGGTTCTTACGATGTTTTTAAAAAAATAATCCGTCAAATTTTGTACTACACAGTTTCTGCGATATTCAACTCTAAAAAATGGAAATTTCATTAAATCATTTCTTATTTGATTCAAAAAATTAATTAACAAATAATTTCTTATTTGATTCTAACAGTTATTGTTGCCTGCATCAACGACATATGAGGATAGAAAACTCACTAATTTATGAGAATGCAATAATTGAGTCATTTAGAATTTTTTCCGAAAACCCATAGGGACTAACTTTTGGGTTCTATTGTCTTGGGATATACCTTAATGTTGCCGAATTTAGTCTACACAGCCCACGCGCGTTTAGCGAGTTTCCAGCAACATCGCGTGACGCACCATTTTATTGAACCGGGGAAAAAAAAATTCTGTTGGAAATAATTCATTTATTTTTTAGAATTTTGAGAATTATGTTGTTTAAAATAAAATGTTTTATATACTTCAATTGAAAAACTCAAATTTTTTAGAATTCTTCCGATCGTTCAGTGAATGTTAATTACCACAAAAACCGCTCTGCGGCGTTTCCCTCATACGGCCACCAATCTCGTGTTCAATAATTAGAAACTTGTTACTATTCGCAATTGAGTTCGCTTCTCATAAATAATTCACCGCGAATACTTCTGAAAACCTTCCCTGCTGCGAAATCTTAATGAATTTATATATTCAGAAAGTTGCCCGAAATCGATCCCATCACCAATAAATTTTGAGCAATGTCCGTCATTCATTCCTTTCAGGAGGAAATTTTAAAGAGAAGCCTTGCATCAATTTCAATTTCTTTCACAAGGACTTTAATTAAAACATTTTATGTCTGGGAATGTTGCAATTTACCTCATTACCTTGAAGAGTCCTTTATGGACAGAATTTTTATTAGCATTTCGGTACGAATGACATAATCATAAATTCCAAGATATTTATCTTCATGAAATCGATGAATTTTAGATTTGTTACATTCACCTAAATTCGACGCAAGCTTGCAGTCGAATTAATTCCTCGATGAAGCAAAAATAAAATTCTCCAAACTGTGATTTTTCGTCAACTTATGCAATTACAGGGTCTATCCAGGGCCATTTAAATATTACGTCACATGTTTTTTTTTACTTTTTAGACCCCCCCCTCAGTCACAAGCCGTCACAAACATGGAGCCCCCTTTATATATTACGTCACAAAATCCACGGGAGTCCCCCTATTATGGAGGATTTTTTCACGATAAAATTCAATTTGAAAAATAAGAATAAGAATCACAAGGAAAATGATTAGGTGGACAATGAACTCTTTGTGCGATTAAGGGTGGGCGATGTTATTAGAAACATCGATGCTGTGAATCGATTTTTCTGAAAGAGATTAAAATCTAGATAAAATCTCGAAAAATCAAAGAAAATAAATAAAAATTTAATGCGGGATATGAAAATTATCCTCAGTGTCAGGCTTTTGTAATAAATCATTTCTGCTTCTGCCTGCCCGAAATAGCATGTTATGTCGAAACACCCTAGCCAAACGAGAGACTATTGTTCAAAAAAATAATTGAAAAAACAATTTGATGGACATTTAGCTGTCAACCCCTATGCCCCCACTACGCGCGCCCATAGAGAGGAGAAAAATAGGGATCAGCGGGTTTCAAATAAGATACCTCGCTCGTTGCGCCCGAATTCAATGAAATTTCCATTTTTACTGAATGAATATCGATAACTAATCAATTTATATGTGTTTAATGTTTTGAATTGGTGTCGCACGCGTTCCCTTTTCTCTCTAAACATAATCCCGCTAGAATGGCAGCTGATGTTGGGGGATTGTTGGTGGAGTAGAGAATAATCACAGACGAAAAATTACGATTTTTCGATGGCAAAAGTGAGAAAAAAATCCACAGCACACTTCATTAGACCCTCATGATCACTTCGTTCGTCCCTCCCGTCTGACCCTTAACACCGTTTGATGCTTATAACTACTATCTTCCCGTTGAAAAATGACCGGGGCCACATGGAGAGAAATATTCAGTCACTTACAATCACTTTTCGCTCCGGAATTACGGAAAAGATACGTAATTTTTATTGAATATTTCTCTCCGTGCATTGGTATCTTATAAGAAGCCCACGGAATATAAACATTCGGGAGGTGATAAAAGTGCCGAGAGAAGGGGTAGGCTTCGAGCGCTCGTAGAGCGAGGTATTTTATAGAGAGGTATCTCATACGAAGCCTCTACTGTCATTTTTTTTAGTCTTTTTAAACTTATTTTTCCTTGTTACACTCAACAACTAAACTGTTCATTCGTACTACTTCAATTCAGTAGCAAAGTGCTCAAACGGTTTGAGTCAATTTAGTCTTTAGTTGAGTTTTCCCGAAATATTTCCGAATTTAAGGGAGATAGCGAAATTTTCATAATAACCTTTTTTGTAGAGCAAGTTGAGTGCTACTAAAAAGGTTATGAGGAAAGTTTTGCCATCTCTCTTAGATTTCGAGATATTCATTGAAATCTGGCCAATAGCCAGAATCGACTTGAACCGTTTGACCACTTCGCTACTGAATTGTGTTCTGTAATATTTAAAGTAATGACCTGAACAAAATTCTTTCTAATTAGATTCCTTCCGTCAATTCCTGGAGAAAGATTTGATAGAGGGTGGCTGCTTGACATCCCTGGAGAATACAGGAAGATTGAATTGGTGGTGTGGTGGAAAGAACAGTGGTACACGTGTACTATGGCCATTGGCAACAACAGGCGATGGAAATTGTCTTCTCCACGCAGCGTCTTTGGGCATGTGGGGCTTTCACGATCGATTGTTGACCCTGAGGGATGCACTCCACAATACATTGTCGAAGGGTGAATACAGAGATGCACTCTTTAGAAGATGGAGGTGGAGGCAGATGGGTTTGAATGCAGCCGCTGGCCTGTCGTACACGGAAACCGAATGGTTAACCGAGTGGCAGAGCATTGTGGAAATGGCATCGGCGAATCCACGAGGCCAGACAGCAACGTCTTATCAGAGCCTCGAAGAGGTACAAACCAAACGGATATTTCATTTGAGCATGCATTGAGGGAAAAAACTGCACTTAAATAGTTACTTGAAAATTGGAAAATTTTGTACTCAGCGATTGAATCAGGGCTCGAGAACAATAATACTCACTTTCCGTTTCACTCTCCCGCTGATCTACACACGGAACACCTTAATAAAATGATATATAACGATGAATTCTTTACTGTAGAAGCAGATGATGTGCAAAATGACCATTCGGAATCATATTGCTAATTTATTAGTTAAAAAAACTATCCCATGTTAAGATAAAAGCAATTTCCCACTTGTTTTCCTGGAGTAATTATTATTTAGTTAGAAATTTTCAGTTAAATAGTAGTTCACGGTGAATATCAATCATTTCTTTTTGACATACATTTACTCTGTTGAGATAAAACAGTACCCGGAGTCAAGTTACATCTGTTTATCGCATGAATGGGAATGCCAGCCCAGAAATTTTCTGCTTTATAAATTAATGGAAAATTCCTACCTAAAGGATGATTAGATCAGTGAATAAATTACATTTTGTTGCCTTGGATAATGTTGACCAGAATTTGGGATTTATAAATTTCATAACATTACCGCAATCGGAAAACATTGAAGTGAATGCATAAAAACTTAGTTAAATTCGATGACATCTTAGTACTTGATTGTGTTAATCTATGCAATAATTCATTTAGCGACTCGAATAATTATCGTTTCCTAAATAAGTTGAAGGATTGCTTAAAAAAAATAATTTTACATTGAAAAAACAACTAATATTCTCATTACTGGACCAAAAGAAGTTTTATTTTCCCCACTTAAATTTGTTTCGTAAAGATATAACTGGTATTCGCTGTAAAATTATATTAAAATCATATGAAATTGTCAAAAAATAATAAATTGAAATTAACAAATAAATAATAAAATAAATATTAAATAAATAATTAATAATAAATAATAATTGTATTAAATTATCAGCTAAGGAATGTTTCTTTGAATGAAATTCTCTTGAAAAAAGTAATTATTTTCCTGAATGATAAGAATGAATGGGATTGTCATGTTAATTGCTCTTTTCAGGTTCATGTACTGGCATTGGCGCACGTACTACGCAGACCGATTATTGTCATTGCTGAAACTATGCTGCGTGATTCTGAAGGTGTGGCCTTGGCACCAATACCATTTGGTGGGGTTTACCTACCGCTGGAAGTTGCACCGGAAAAGTGTCATCGTACACCACTATTACTTGCTTATCATTCGGCGCATTTTTCTCCACTGGTAACCGTCGATGGGGGCAATGATTTTGGCGATGGGGGTGGATCGGTTGAAGGGGTTAGTATACCACTTGTTGATCCGGACACGGGACAACTGCTGCCTGTTTTATTCGCTGTCGATCCTGGTCCTGACTGGGACTGGAGTGTCAGCTCACAGGATCTCTTGCCTTGTCAACAGGATACTGTGAGTTTTTATAATCATTTTTTTACGGTATTGGTTTTTCAGGATTACTTGAGGATGAAGTTGATGAGAATTTATACATCCAGAAAAAAAATCCTTATTATCAGATTTTAAAGATCTTCAATTGAAACTTTCGAAAGGATCCAATGGATATTTTCAAGTCTCAATTTGAGACTTGGAAATCTCAATTTTAGCATTCTAAACGTCTTAATTTGACACTTTTAAATCTCAATTTGAGACTTGCAGAGAGTTTAAATTGAGTTTTTCAAATCTCCAGTCGAGATTTTCAAGTTTCAAATTGACATTTTTAAATCTCAAATTGAGACATATGAAAGTCTTAATTGATAGATTCGAAAGTCTTAACGTCAGACTCTTAAAAATCTCAAGTTGAGAATTTCAGAACTCAATTTCATATTTTCGAAAGTCTCGATTTGAGACTTCCATAAATCCCAATTTGAGATCGCAAGTCTCGCATTGAAAACTGTTTTTTTTTGGTTGTATATTTTCTTATATTCAAAGAATCTACTGCGTGTTTTGTGGTCGTGATTCACGCAAGGACAATTGGACGGATTTCAATGGAATTTTGACTGCTAATTAGTTTAGGATTTTCGTTATAATATAGGCTAAAAGTTACATAAAAGAGGATTCACTGTAAAAAGTTCCTGAAAATTTCCATATTTTTTTAAAGAAAATAAGGAAAAGCTGAAATAAAAATTGTGGATTATTCCAAAAGTTCTTGAGAATTCTGAATTTTCTTATAAATTTGGAAATTCTCTGTTTTATTAAGAAAATTCTTCAGTTTTTCTAGAAAATTTAGGGGACTTCTCAAAATTGTTGGTTGTTGAAGAAAGTTTCGGAGAATTTTTAGTTTTTGTTCCTACGAGATTCAAAAAAGTTGCAGGTTTTTATAAAAAATTCGAGGAATTCGTCAGTTTTGATGAAAAAAATCGGAAAAAGAGGTTTTTCCAGAAATTTCAAAAAAATTATTTTGTTTTTCTTTAGGGAAATTTCAAAACTCTCTAGGAATTCCCTAAGCTTCTGAAAAAAATATCACTAAAAAATTCCTGATTCCTGCAGTTACAATTGAACTGTAAAAATATGTTTTCAGCATTCTGAAATCTCCAAAGTTACTTGTTTCAGAGATATGTTCACAGCAATTTTTATATATTTTCGCCTTATCTTGTTTTACTACCTCCTTCAAGAATTGAAACTCCTAGAGTTGAAATCAATGAGGAAGTGGTAAACCGACGATAAGTGCACGCTTTACTACTAGAAGAAGTTTTCAACTTTTTCAGCTCGGCAAGGAATATTAATTGAAATCCTCCCTCATTCAGACTGAATATTTAGCCTCAGAATTTCTTAAATGGAACAACATTTTGTAATACGTTAATCGATCAGAGAGTGGCGAGTTCAGGGGAAGATAAGGAATTAATTGCTTTTCAATTTGTTATTTCTCTTTGTTTGACGAGAGATTATTCAGCCGTTGAAAATCAGGCATTGACCTCGAGATATCGAGGAGAATTTAATGCAAATATTGTATCGATCCATCAAACCGGAAAGGATTGACGTTTTTATGTGGAATTTGAAAATTGATTTATATCGATTATTCTTCTTTTATCGGGCAAAAATGGTGATTACAGACTATTTATTTAGTAAATATTCGTCATATTCGTCAACTTTTGAAAATTGGTCAATGACAGATAAACATGATTTATTAATGACTTGAGTTTTAAAAACAAAGAATTTTAGTGGAGATCCAATTTCACAGCTTGATTGAAATTTCAATGGAACATGAATATTCAGAAATAAAATGACATCAATTTTAAATTTTTTTATGAATTTTCACAGAATAATTGAACTGTAAAATCAAGTATTTTATTGATTTTCAGATCATGAGAAACAGAAAATCAATGGAATATTGATTTTTCAATAACAAGATTTCCTGAAATTTCGGTGAAAATTAAACATGATAAAAATTTCTGCGATTTGACACAGAAAATTCAGACAACAAATTTTGACAGTGTGGGATAGAATTATTTTATAGCTCGATTGAGTCATTTCGCTTCAATTGGAACATGAATATTCAGAAACAAAATGACCATGAATTTTCAATTTTTTTCCGAATTTTCACAGAATAATTAAACTGAAAAATCAAGTATTTTATTGATTTTCGGATCATTAGAACAGAAATTCAATGAAATAGATTTGATTTTTCAATTACAAGATTTTCTGAAATTTCAATGGAAATTAAACATGATAAAAATTTCTATGATTTGACACAGAAAATTCAAACGAAAATTTTTCCCAGTGTAAGCTAGAATAATTTTATATTCACAGTGTAAAATATAATAATTCATTTCGCCTCGTTTGGTTTTGTTCCAGATGGAAATTCTGATTAGAGATTATTTAGACTGTGAATATCAGACATTAACCTCTGAAGATTTGGAGAGACTCTCAGAAACAGACGGATCAACCTCGAATAAGAGTAGAACAGCTAGACAGCTGTTGGGTGTTGCTAAGCAATTTGGATCAATTGGAAAGTCTGTGAGTAAAAGACTGTGGTCAATGGCTAAGAGACCAAAGAGCCCACCGGCCTCATCCACCGGTGCAATAACCGAGGGTGTGCTCTGCGTGAGACTGAGGAGTCGACGTCACCAGTACGTGGATCAAATGCTCCAGAATTATCTACAGTGTGCCCACTCAAGGTAATTCATACCAATAAATTCTTAGTAATTCTGCAGTGAAATAGAATTAATCCACTCGACTTCATTTTAATCATCTTTACATTGAGTTTTCGATGAATATCTTTAAATCTAAGGGAGATAATGGAATGTTCGGAGAAATCATACCAAAATGATAAGGAGAAATCAACCCCTTTTCGCCTAGGGGATGGGATAACTCGAATGTCTAGATAATTTATTATTTTTCCGGTGGAAATCAGCCCCACACCCAGAGAAATGACGCATTTGAGTCCAATAAAACTCTACTTGATTTTTTTCTATTCATTTCAACAATGTTGAATTGATAAACTCATGAAATTGATTTCAATGAAAATGTTTCAATTATATGATTCAAATAAAGTTGATTTAATTCAACTTTTTTTTATTAACTTTGGTTTATTAACGTTTTTACGTGAATACGTCTATGTTTTCATTATGGGGGGGCATTTGGGGAAAAAGTCCTTATGGTTCCTTATCGACAGTGGTGCCATCTATCGGAATTCTAAAACATACTAGAATTTTGAGAAAATTCTCCATTTTTTTTTAATTATTGGGAGTACTGATGAGAGTAATAATTTTCCGTTGAGTAGAATGGAAAATTAATGAGAAGTTTTGACGGGGAAGTTTTGGTCAACTGATTAATTGAAAAGAAAATGAAACAGCAAAATCTAAAGTCCAGTGGAAGGCCCAGGGGGAGACCCAGAGAGGGAAAAAGGAAAATGTGATGAGTTTCAATCGAATGAAAAAAGAAAAGTGTAATCGCCCTAATCTAATCAATTGAATTATAGATGAAATATTTCATATTATTTAAAACGAGAACTGTGAAAATTTGGGTGAGCCCTTTATACGTACAAGTTATCAAACATCATTATATCCTTCAGATTTCTAAATATTCCCCAAAACCAGTCCCCAATTGATCTCCAACTCCCATTTTCCCCCTCCGTAACTAAACTCTCCAACACTCTAGTTTATTACCCCCATTCTATCATCATTACCTCCATTATTTTAATTCCAGATACTTGGAGACACATCAGAATGACGCCTCGGGGACTGAAATGAATTACGGGGCGGGTAAATCCAAGTTTTACGCTGCCAGCGATAGTGGTAGTCACGCCAGTGTCAGTAAACTTCAGCCAAAAAATACAAGTAGAGATCGTACCCTATATCTCTCCAGGTAAATCGAATAAATTAGATTTCCCAATGACGATATTAACTCTCCAATTTACTCTTTTTGCTCCAGGTCAACATTTTATAATAACGAAATAACCCCCGAGGACGCAGAGACACCAGAGGCGTGGAAGAATGTTGATATGCATGATGTACGTTGAACAAAAAATAATTCTACCCCAACAAAGCAATTAAATGAAATTTAATTAAAATTCTGTGAAACAAAAAATCGTTAAAAACAGGAAAAATAATTGATTGCTTTTGTTAATATTTCAGAGTGTACCACGTGAGTGTCGCAGTGAGCATTGCCAATTTTTTGGTTCACCAGAAAATCAATACTACTGTTCGCAGTGCTGGGCAAGTCGTAGACAACGATGATGAGTCTGTGTAAATTCATTATTTTTCCTCCCTCATTGCCCCCATGACAATAACCCAAATATTTATTTTGCCAACGTTATTGAATAAGTCTATCCTCCCACGCGAGTCCCATGCGATTAAAAACGGTTACTACATGATAATGACGCATGAAGATGTATAAATTTTAATGAGATTCTCAGAGTTAATTAATCATAAAGAGTTAACAATTGATGATTATTTGTTCAGCAACGATTCTCGTTGCCTTTTCACGGTTGAGCTTCAGTGCTGTTTCCAGTGATTTTGCTTTAATTTATTAACAATTTTAGTAGGTGAATCATTAGGTTAATAGAATTGTAGTGCGATAGGAGAGGATTAGTAATCGAGCTCGACGTGTTCAAACTACGGACGTAACCCACTGATATTCATAAACCAGAGATAAATAGTACTTTGTAGAATTATCTGTTTAATTATCAATTGCTAGTGGGTATCGGTCTAAATGTCCAGTGGAAAATCCTGATAAAAATATATCGGTGTAAGAATTCAGTAGCGAAAGGGAAAAAGGATTTAAGGTATATCCCGAACAATGTTACTCCAAAGTTGGTCCATATGGATTTCTGGAAAAAATTCTAAATGATTTAAGAGGAGACTGCTATGAGTTTTAAGGCATTTATGGCGGGATGGCCATGTGGGAGGTGAGATGGAGGGGAATCTATTGTTCTCTCACAGAAAACCAATCGCTGAACAAAAAAAACGGTATTTCAATTACAAATTTTCAATCTATTTCTACCGTTTTTTTGTTTGACATATTTTTTAAATAACTTTTCTATTTTTTCCCGCTTATTAAAAAATATTCTATTTTTTCCCGCTTATAAAAAAATAAAAGGAGTATTTGTAACATTTGAAGCCCCTGCGGGGCAAACGGACAATCAACAATTATTTGCCTTGCGCTAATTATTCATTTTAAGTTTTTATTTTATTTTATTTTTTTTTCATTATTCACTTTTGGACGTGTATAATCAATCTTCAATGTATGAGAAATCTCATTCCAATAGCCCACGACTTTTAAAACTCATAGTAGTCTCCCCTTAACCCTAGTCTGGTCACTAAACGCGACCCTGCGATTGGTCACCTCTGCGGGGATTCCCCGCCGTGTTATTTAGGCTCTAGCGTTGCCGAATTCACTCTACACTGGCCGGGCGCGGTTAGCGAGGTTCCGGCAACGTCGCGTCATGGGGAATTTCATTTAACATGGGAAAAAACAATTCATTTGTTCGAAATAATTTGTTTTCTTTAGGAATTTCGGGAAATATGTTGTTCTAAAATCTACTATAATTCTTTCGACACTTCAATTGACTGAGTCAATTTTTTTTTAATTTTTCCGGTTATCCAATCAATTATAATTGAAGAAAAACGACGCCCAGTAGAGTTTCCCTCATATGGTGACCAATTTAGGGTTAATTTATTGAATTCTCATAAGTTATTGAGGTTTTATAATCTCATATGTTGTTGATAAAGACAGCAATAACTGTTTGAATAAAAAAAGAACTGATTTCACGAAATTTCCGTTTTTTAGAGTTGAATCATTATTTCATCATTTATTATCTCCTAAACCGGGTAGTACAGTCAGTCAGAATATTTTTCAGTAGCTGGGGAATATTATAGACATTATCTGTGAAAAACATGGGGACAGTCGTAAGAAAAATCGGTTTGTTAGGGAAATCTCTCAATTCGACTCATCTCTTAGCTGAGTTTTCGAGGCAGATAGAGTCAATATAAGGGAGATAGAGAAATTTTCGTGAAAACCTTTCTTGTAGATCTTAATCCGCTCTACAAAAAAGGTTATGACAAATATTTTGTTATCTCTCTTAGATCGAGAGATATTAAATGAAAACTGACCAATAGTGAAAATCGACTTTAACCGTTTTACCGCTTCGCTACTGAATTCCAAAGGAAATCTTAAATATTATTATCGACTTGTGAGTTTGAAATTTCAGAAAGAGGATTTTTTGGAAGAATACACGGAAAAATTCTAGTCAATTTACTAGGGCATTTTACTGGAACTTGTTTGAGACAGAGAAAGTTAATGAAAAAATGTCTATTAGAATAATTTTCTACAGAACGTATTCTGTTGAGTTTTCTATCTTCTGATGAGAAATGTAAAGAAATAGAGTGGGAGCATCAAGGCATTTTCCACTCTATTTAAAGGAAATAGAAAATCTATTGAGTGGTTTTTAATTAAATTCTTCAATTGAAGAATATTCAAGAAAAAACTGGGGAATTTTCAAAACTAATAAAATGTCTAATGGGAATCCTCAGAAAATTCTGTAGAATTTTCTCTCCTGCTGTTTTCAGATGTTCTCATTCCGAATTTTTCGACTTTTTAATTTCATCCATTCATTTTTCTATTACTCTTGTATTATGACTCGCATTATGTTTCTTACCTAAGTGATGATTTAATTTCTGTTTGAGATTATTGTCATGTATTAAGGGGAGACTCACTCCAGGAAAAAAAATTATTTGTTTTTCGAGAAAAAGAATGAAAAAATAGGGAAGAGTGGGGCAAAATGAAACAATTGCAAAATAACTGTTTGACGCAATTCAAGCAAAAAAATCTTTTTAATCAACCATTTTTTTAATTAACTTTTGTTTATCAACTTTTTTTATTATTGGGAGTACCGATGAGAATAATAATTGTTCCGTACTGTTCTTCACTTTTCCTCGTCCGGGAATTGGTATTGACCCTTCCCAAAACTCGGAACAAACCCCATGGCACTCGCCCTGAAATATACTATTCCATTCAATAGAATGGAAAATTATTAAGAAGTTTTGACGGGAGAAGATATGGTCAATGGATTAATTGAAAAGAAAATGAAACAGCAAAATGCAAAGTCCAGAGGAAGGCCCAAGGGGAGACCCACAGGGGGAAAAGGAAAATTCGATACTGAGTTTCAATAGAATGAAAAAAGAAAATTAATCGCCCGAATCTAATCAATTGACTTATAGATCTTCTCCCGTCAAAACTTCTCAATAATTTTTCATTCTATTAAATGGAAAATTATTATTCTCATCAGTACTTCCCATAATAAAAAAAAGTTAATAAACAAAAGTTAATTGAAAAATGGTTAATAAAAAATATTTTTTTGCTTGAATTACGTCAAACAGTTGTTTTGCACTGTTTCATTTTGCCCCATTTTTTTTTATTTTTCTTGAAAAACAAATAAGTTTTTTTCCAGGGTGAACCTCCCCTTGAATTGTGCACAATATTTTATCCTTGTGTATTTCTGTTTTCTTAAGTTTCTTTATTGGAATTCTTCCACAGGACATTTAAACTGATAATCATATTGAGTCCCGACAAAAAATGGAAATTAATGTTACGATTAAACACGTTGATATGTGCCTTGTTTTTTCGTATAAAAAAGAATATCAAAGACAAAAAAAATACTCGAACGTCGAAATGACCCAAACATCACATATATATTTTTTTAAAAGCTCTTGCTGTGAAAATTCCATTTCTTTCGGTCTATCTTTTATTTCACAAGGATTTCTCCTTTTACTTTACGTCAATTATGATACGGTCTCTGCCGAATTAGTCTGACCCACTTGTCAACCATTACTCTTCGAACTAGATGATAATTAACGATTAATTGATAAATTGACTATATCAAGTCTCAACGAAAATGTTATATCGATGATTTTTCGTTTACCGTTTGCTTGAAATTTCAATGATTAAAAATGCAAACGACTAAGATTACTCTGTCAACTTGTGTGAATAAAATAAGAAAATATTTTTTTAACAATTTCTCCTTTTCTTCTTGTTCCTCTCATTTCAGACGAATAGAAATATATGATCATTGAAGAGAGGGAAGTTTAAGGGGCGGAGGGGTGATAGATAGCACCCCAGGGGCCCAATTGGCCTGTCTGAATGTGACAGGTGAGGTACTTTACAACATACATAAAATTGTAATATGTGATTCCCCGAGAAAAGTAACGTAGGAGGTGAATTTTAGTCACGTCATTTGACTGGCATTCAAGTTTCATTAGTGCTATAAATCACAATATTTTGCGGGGAGTTTAAATACGGGCTTATTTCGTGGTTAATGGCTCGGGCATGTTGAGAATAGCTTAAAATAAGGGGTATCGAGGGAGATTTGACAGTTGGGATGAGCAAAAAAATTACACAGTCGTGGTTAACGAAGACAAATAAGAATTGAGTGAATTTTAATCGGGGCTGCGGTTACACGAGGAGAAATTTACTCAAACAACGGTCAGCCATAATTGTGATAGTTAACTATGACTAAAGGAACGAATAATATTCTTGATTGAGCGGAGATTACAGTGTCAATGATTTTTTTGCTAGAAAAAAGGTCACGATGGAAATTAAATTAATTTTTTTTTGCGATTTTTTTTCGCAATTATCTCGGAAAATATGAGAGATAGAGCCTTTAAACCAATTTGATGATATTCAGTGTTCGAAGTTTGTTCCATATATTTCCAGAACCATTTTATGTTTCCGGTGCACGTGACCACAAAAGGACATTTCAGGTTCAATTTAAATTAATTATTGCTCTAATTATCATCCGCTTTTCTGTCCCTCTCAACTTATCGTTCCACAAATTATCTGCAATATTATTCATTCAAGATATTGCTCAAATTACTCATTGAAATACTCATGATTATATGTAATTTTCATCTAAAAACGTGCTAAATGCAACAGTGTGTGAATAGTTGGATGTAAAAACAAATAAATTGAACTAATTTTCGTCAGCCCATCAGAAAAAATGGAAGCTAGATTGCCAATAACTAAACTGGATGCGAAGGAATATTTTTTGAAACGAGTAGTTTCATTTTTCGTCGAGAAAAAAAAGCCCTCATATTCGCTTCACCGGTTTCATTTAGGTTCAGATAAAAGGAAAAATATAATACAAGGCTAAAGTGAAAGTTTGACGTGGTATTTTGATGGAAGAGAGGCAATGAGCGGCGCGGTGTACAGTGAGGATATGGTAGAAGCTTCCTAAAATATACAGAAGACTATACCTCGTGTATATCGTACTGCTAGGGGGACTTTCCTCTTGGGTATCACACTCGTAAAAACTAATGTCACGAGGTATACACGTATAGCTGATGCTGAGTGAGTGGAAGGGAGGCGAAGGACGAAAGGGAAAATAGAGCGAGAGGTGAATGGTACTGGTGGATGTGCAAAGGATACTGAGTCGTTTCCAACTGAGCAAACGTGAAAATTGCTATCGCACGATGGGATGAGCCGAAATTCGACCATCTTCGCTCATCCACTCAATTATTCAGTATTACTGCGTATGAGGTGATATGCCGGGAAGTTCTCTTTTTTGTTGGCCTCGTTTTTCATTGCGTTCCTTCCTCCTTTTTTTGGGTTTCGGTGATTGGGCACAAAAAAAGTATGAATTGACAAAAATAATCTGAATACCTGAATAAAGATTTGTTTGTAATGGAAAACAAATTTTTTTTGTGGAAATTCGGTAAAGGATAGATGGGTTTTGTAACGTTGTCGATTAATCGAAAACATCGATTTTTCATGCCCAAACATTGATGTTTTTCATTCGATGTTTTGAACGGCCGATTAATCGATTTTCGATTATTTTTTCCAAACACCAATATTATAATAAGAAAATTTTTCATTTTTTGTTGAAGAATAATGTTGATTAATTGAGAATAAACAAAATAATAATTTATCCGCCATCAGAAGTAATTAATTTCTACAGTATGTATGTTATAAATGATAAGTGAACAAGTC